TATATTGCAGCGCTTTGCACTCTGCACAGGTAATGAGAAGTGGAGAAAAGAGTCAGGGGGCTTTATTGGTCTGGTGGGTCTTGAATAAAATAGTGAACGTGAGGCCTGAAGGAAGGGAAGATTTCTGGATCAAAAATGTTGGGGGAAAAAAGCAGGACTCAATCATTAAACTAAAATACATTGTAATTATTGTTTAATTTATTAAAAATCAGAATGGCTTTTGTTGAAAACCACATTGAGGTTTTCTACTTTATTTTTTTTGTTTCTATCTCCTACTTTTCTCCTGCCTCAAAATTATAGATGCTCTAATAATGCTGTGCATGTGCATCTTCACTTTTACTCTTTTTCTCCTTCAATCTTCCTGCTCTCAAAATGTAGAAAATGCTCCAGTCATTTTGCAGTTTTTTTTTTTTTTACATCAATATGCTTTCATGTTGTTTACCAAAGATGTGCCTGTGGGCTGCTGGGTAGGTTTACTGCAAATAAAACCTCCAGGTCTTATTTTTTTCTTTCTCTCCTTTAGGGAGAATTAGGCAAAAATAAATATCTGAGTGGAAAAAAAGCCACAACCATTTCAGAATAGTTCAACCTTTTCCACAGATTATATTTTTAATATTCAAACTTCTTTGAAAAATAGTAACATTTTTTAATTTACCACAGTTTCATGAAAGCAAAGTCTGACTGTCAGAACATACAGTTGCTGATATTTTAAAGCATTTGTTTCTAAATAACTAAATATTATTAATAGATGATGTTGTGTTGCATCATTGATGAAATTCTGTTGTTATTCCAAACATATACGTGTTTATAACCTAAATATCTCTGTCAAATGATGTTTCAGCAAAGTCTATAATCTGTCAAGCATCCTGACAGAGTGGCCTTTGGGGGGGATAACAGTCTTCAAAACATTTCCTTCCCCCTGAGGTCACAGCCTTTTATTTAACTTGGCTCTGAGTGGAGAGACCGTTTGGACACAACAGTTTTAATGGCGTGCTGCACCGAGAGTTTACGGCTGTCTGATGCTGAGGAAGGCGATGTTATTGGAGCAGCAGCGAGGGGATATTCTGATCCGACGAGCACTAAAGCAAACTGTGCAATTTGCAGAGGGGCTTTTTCTTAAGAGGAGGTGACTGTGATTAGCTGCACTCCTGTGAGAGGGAGATTTATGAGTTCTAAGCTTCTTTTTTGCCTGACCTGCTGCAAACATTTACAAGTCTGAAAAATGCAGAGAGACTAAAAAAGAAAAAAAAAAGTGCTGCGTAACTCCCAGGATTTATTAGAAGGTATTTCTCAAGATGGTTTAGAGAAGCGTGAAATTATGATAATCAGCTCTGGGAAGTGAATTTTTTTTTCTTTTTCAGATGCCAAATCTGATTTCATAGAATATGTAAAACAGGAAATGTGAGTTGTATGTCAGGCCAAAACTAAAATAACACAAATTCTCCGTCTTCAAACTCCTCATTGTTTTCTGTGCGTGAATTTTAGGTCAGCTCCCTGCAGAGATGACTTGGTTACCACGCCAACACGTTTTTGCCCCTGTCTCCTGTTGCTATGGTAACAGCCCAGATCCTGGTTGACCTTAGCTTCCTCCACAGATACACTCAGTCATCAACTGTGCAGGCATTTATTGCACCAATAATTAGCTTCTTTGTCCCCACAGTTTGAGCCCGAACTTCAGAGGGCTGAGTTGAATGAACTTTTTATTGGTCCTGATCATCAGAACAGGATGCACTGTGGCCTGGTTTTGTTTCTGTTGCTTTGGGAGCAGTAACGCTCTACAGCTTCTGCAGCTAAGTTCACAGTTTTTTTTAGTATATTCAGCAAAAACCGTGGCTGCAAAGTGGGCACAAATGATGAGGCCTCTGCCTCTGTGCTTGGTATTTGTTATGAGGTGTTTGTGCTGATGCAATGCTTCTGTTGTACTTGGTTTTCTCTAAATGTAACTGTGCATTAGAGGCTAACATCTGCACTTTTTCCCCTTATGCAAAGCAAACATTTGGTTAACCATCCGGTTGGTCAGAATAAACTTTGTAAACCAAAGTAACTTTGTTCAACTGCCATCTGCACTTGTTTTATGTGCCGCTGTGCTTTAATTAACTAGTAATTTAGGTCTGTGGACTCTGAATGTAGGTCATGTCCAGCCTGACCTGATGATGGATTTTCTAGCATGTCTTCTAACAAAAAAATAAACTATACTGAATGGCTATTTGTGCAAAGGAGTAATTACTTGGAAAGAAGAGTCAATTTTCTTTTCACTCCTGTATTTTGATTTTACACATTTGAATCTTCCAGATTTTTATCCTGCTAAAATTTGCTTTTAGTCAATAGCTGTGATAAGCAAACTGTGCTCAGTATTCTTTAAAAATGTATTTCTGTTCCAGTTTCTAAATTGGGTTTGCTGCCATTTTGGAAACTAGCAGAATACGTATAAAGTATAAGAAATACTTTATACGTGTGAGTTGTAAAATGGTTGCTTTAAACAGGAGGAGTGAATGGAAGCAGCTGGAAGTCACTTACTATACAGAGCAGTCTGCATTTACTCCTGAAGTTTTAACCGAACTACAATAACGTAGCTTAAAATTTTGCTCCGATATCATTCCTGATGGACGTGGCGATGGCAGAATGTAAAATACTGACATTCAGTCAAGTTTCAGTCGCTTATTTGGCTCAGACACTGGGTAGAGGGGGAAAGAAGGCTTCCAGCTGCACCCATTTGTTGTGGGTAAAACCACACATGTGAGTAGTTGGTGAGAGTGCAATAAAATTTGTCTCGATAGCTTTGGGGTTGAAATCAAAATCATCTTGAAAACATGTTTTGCTTCATATCCTCCAAGCCGTTAGTCAGCTAGAAACTCGTCTCACATTCACGTGGAATAATATTTATAGTCGTAGGAGAGGTTTGCCCTCTTCAGTTTCACATTACTGACCTGTTCGGTTGTTGGATCCGTGTGAAAAGCATCTGTTTGGTCCAGCATGTCATCAAATGACAACTTATTCATTTGTCATGTTCTATTTAGAATTGCAGAAGAGTTTCAGTAATTATGTACAAAAACAGCAAAACTCTAGTTATAGGAAGCCAAATTGCCACTGCCGAAATTACTTGACTGCTTTAAAAGAAAAGGAAAATATTTCAATGGGAGTCCTTCATGTCACTGCTTTCAAGATTTGTAGGTTTTCTGGCACCAAAAATACTTTCACTATTTAACACTTTCTGAAGAAAGAATATAAAAATTCCCCACATAATTCTTTATCTAGTATGTAAGCCTATTTTCTTGTGTTGTTTTCTTTTGAAACCAAATTTTTTTAGTATCTTAAGGACAAAAACAAAGTCATGTAAACATGTACATGCAAGCTTTTCTTTCTTCTGTGGGTTTTACAACATTTAATCATTTTATGGTGCAGAGAATCTTCCTGCTGGTTCCTGTCATGTCAGGTTACTCATTGACCTAGAAGCCTTACTTCTGGTCAGATCTACTTAAAACAGTCCAAAAGAAACTTTCATGTCATTTCCATAGAGGATTTGTGACTCTCTGATCTCTAAGGATTCGTAGCACAGAGACATAATATGAGTGCACTCCCTGGAGTCTGCACAGCACTGACTTATTGTCCTTGACTCCTGAAGGACAGATTAGAAAATAACATGCAAGACTCATAAAGCAAAACATGGCTTTATTTTTTACGGTGGGTGCAAAGTGTTTACATTTTTGCACGCTGAAACAAAATATCCCCAATTAATTATGTTATTGATCATCTTATTTCTTTTGGAGCTTCAAATTAATTTGAAATGTCAAATAAAGCTAAAAACAAAGTTCATAAAACTGACAATCTTTTGTAATTTATCTTTTCTTTAGAAAAAAAAAATCTTTTTTTTTTGGTGCTTTTTAGTCAAACAATTGAAGCACATATATTTCTGCAAATTTATCAGTTTATGTTTTAAGCAGGCTTCATGCTTAAGCTAAGTGTTTATAATGTAAATCAATTTCAAATGCCTTTTTGTAGAATGTGAGAACAAGGGAGTAATTTTATTAAATTTGTTTAAAAGAATACCAATCGTAAGTGACTGTTTTCTATAAATATTTTCCTGCTAAAGCTCCTGTTAAAGCCACAATTTGTCCCTTTGGAAACTTAACCACAAATAACTAAACAGTTATGAATTAATGCCTAATATGTTGAAGTTTGTTAGTTTGATCTCACGACTAGCACACCAATGAGAATAACCAAGAAACTACAAAAAACCACAAAAATGTTTCAAACACAAAAGACTCACAACACATTTGCAGGATTTTCAAGCACTACGCACTAAATTACAGAGTTTTTATGTTTTCCTTTTAAGGAATTCCCAGCTAAAGTATGAATCTAAATCTTTAATGATTAACTTTCTGTGAACCAGCAGGAAACCAAAAGTACACTCAAAGCTCTGGAGAAAATATGCCTTCCAGCGTTCAAATGAAAAGCACAGAGCCTCTCCGGAGGAGCTAGAGGACGTCGTTAGTAAAAGCTTCTCTCGCTAAACTGCTGCCTCCTCAACTCTGACAGAGTTTAGCAGCAGGAAGAGAGACGAGGTTCCCTCCGCAAACATGATCAGTGGAGTTTCTTTTTGTCTGGGTTCTTCTAAGTCATCTCGGTCACTACTTATGTTGTAGTGCAGAATTTTCTGCGGCATTTTTCTGTTGGCTCACAATGTGTGTGCGTCTAATAGTGTTGAGCAGACAGGAAGTTTTGCTCTCATTATCTTGGAGATTGACTCATAAAACGAGACTACATATAAAATTGACCACTTTAAAACGAAATTGACTCGTTTTAAAGTAGGACTGTGACAAGTACTTCATCCTTTATACCTGCATACTGTAATTGCAAAACTTTCAAAGTCAAATTATTTCTTTATCTTTTAATCATCACGTAAAAAAAAGCTGCTTTATAACTGATTCGATCCTTTCCAGTTAACTGATGGATTTCTTCTGATCCTGACCTATCTCGTCTTTTTCTCTGTGGTTCTGCAGGAGTTTGCTGCGCTGACCAAGGAGCTGAATGCCTGCAGGGAGCAGCTGCTGGAGAAGGAGGAGGAGATCTCTGAACTCAAAGCTGAGAGGAACAACACCAGGGTATGTATCTAAAGCTTGAATCTTGCATCAAACTTACATTGTGCTGGATCGGTCAGTTCCTCTCCAGCTACTTGTACTATGAAGCTTCTTGTGAGGAAACAAATAAATGTCTTTTTGCTACTCCCAGTGTTTTTGTACTTGCAAAAGATACAAATAAAGTTGGGATCCTTTCATGTGGACAAAATAGCAGCAGGGGAATAAAACAATATAGACTTATTTTAGTTTTGATATTTAATAATGTTAAAAATGTGGATGAACCAACAGAACTGATTTTCCATGACAAACAAATATCTTTAGTATAGAAATGGAGGAATGAATTGTTAACAACTTGACCTACATTATTAATATGAATGGTCAAAAAGTGGTATTTCTAATACACAGCCTTGAGGGACACAACTTGTGACAGGTAACCAGAAGAAAGACTAAATTACACACGGAAAGATTTTTTTCCGTATTCCTGATATTTTATGATGTTTCACTTCCTGCTTCACAATTTTGAATAAGATCCTCAGGAAAAATGGTTCCTGGAAGCTGAGAACAGAAATGGAAGTAAGTCTGCAAAAGTACTGAATCAAGCATCTGATGATTCTTCTTGATATTCTGTAGTTCTTGATATTCTTGATATTCTGATATTCTGTATCAGAATATCAAGAAGATATTCTGTAGTTCTTGATATTCTGGCTGGAAGTTTTCCACTTCCTCCACATATGAGAGCTGGGCAGTAGAATTAAGTGGTGATAATATGCAGAGTTCTCCAGCTCAAATACTCTCATGGGAAATTGAACCAACTTGTAAATGTTTGGGGAGGCAAAGTTGTGCATGTTCACTTTTAAAAACCATTCTCCTCTTAAAAGCTGTAAGCACACTCTGCTGTTGCCAGACAAGATCGGTTTACTTTTCTGCACTGATTTAGTTTTCACTTTTTTTTTTGTTCTGCTAAAGGACTATTTTAGCACAGCTCACTGAGAAATCATGAAAAGAGGTGCAAAGAAACAGAAAACGTCATTTTCACACTCGCTTAATTATCGCCTCGAACTCTCTAAAGAGCAATTTTCTAAGCAAGCTTTAATTAAACTTGGTATTGTCACTGAAGGTGTTTTACATTTCATAATTAAGTTTTGTAAACCAAGTGCAGACAGGCAGTGGACTGAGAGCTGCAGTGTTGTCTGTGGAGACATGTAAACTTTATTGACTCTTAGGATAAATGTCCCAGTCGAATGAGAGACACGAACAGTTAGACTCAAGAGGGTCTGGAGACATGAAGCATGTCCAATAAATAATAAAGCAATGTTTTGAAAAAATCTACCGAACAGGATTAGAGTGTGTTCTAATTCTGGAAGAAGCTCAGTGTAAACGCTTCATGACTGATTCAGCTGTTTGTTCTGTTGATGTTGCAGGAATACAGAGTACATGATGACTGCTGCTCCAGATATAAGAGAGATAATTCAGATAGAGAAGTGGTTTAAATTTGCCTTTTTATAGGTGCTCATTTTTTTTCAGACACATGAGCATGACAACTTAAATTTTTTCTAATGGTAAAATATTATTGGTTTTAAAACTAATTGAATGTATACTACTTCCAGAGCATTTATTTGAATAATTTAGTAGAAAACCAAGTTAGTTTCTGCAACATATGGTGCTGCAGACAGTCCATCCTCGTGTGAATTCAAAACTGCTTTCCTTTGCGATAAAAGTTTCCTCTCTTAGCCACAGTAGAACCTGATGTCAAATTAGAAATATTTAAAATATTCTTGATGTACTAATTACGAAGAGTTCACCACTGAGACGCCTGGGTTTTTCTGATGATGGAATCAGAAACTCTCTTTCACCTTCTACACTTTTTGCCTCCTTTTACTTTTCACCAGAAACGGATAAAAAAACCATTCCTGACCTTTGCATAAATATTCCTGTTTTTGCAGGTGACAAATCTTGACTCCGTCATTTTGTATTGTTTGCCCTATTGAAGCTGTTAACAGGGTGACGGATGTAGATTTTTGGGTTTGACCCAGTTGATTTCATTTTTGACTAATTCTGCCTTTTAAGCCTAAATACTATAAAGAATGTGCCAGTGATTTTAAATATGACTGAAAATGAAATAATTTCATTATGCCCTTTAAATGCTTCCTAACCTTATTTGACTTTCACAACGGGAAACATTTTTGTTTTTATGCTATATTCACTACATGCAAATACAACAAAGAGCAGTTATAAAGAAAGTGATGAAGCTTCAAAGTATCTTTTAAGGTTTATGTTTTAATATAAATATTAGTTTGTATGTGTTCAGCCAGCTGTTTGAAGCTTTTCCCTGTTTTTAACAACTAATCTGTGCATGTGATTCTCCCAGTTACTTCTGGAACATCTGGAATGCCTGGTGTCCAGACACGAGCGGTCACTTCGAATGACGGTGGTCAAGCGTCAAGCTCAGTCCCCCTCAGGGGTCTCCAGTGAGGTTGAAGTCCTCAAAGCACTTAAGTCCCTTTTTGAACACCATAAAGCACTCGACGAGAAGGTACATCTGTCACCAGCCGTGCATTAATTTCACTTCTGTTGGAGGAAAAAAACATATTTTTGTATATTTGTAAATGAATGCAGAATATTGTGAAACAATATGGGTTCCTTATATATTTTAATAGAATTAATACAATTATTTCAGATTTCAGAGTTTTTAATTCAGGGTTGAAAAGCTCAGAACAAGAAGAAATTACTTTTACAGTCAATCAAGGTTCCTTTTGTGACTTCAAAACCACATTTAAGAGAACAAAATAATTTATCTCCTGCCGTGTCAATCAAAGCTTACCTAGGTTGAAATTTAAATAATCGATTTAAATGAACATTGACGTAAATATTGTTTTCTATTTTAATACTTTCAGGTCAGAGAGAGACTACGAGTGTCACTGGAGAGAGTCTCTGCCTTGGAGGAGGAGCTAACAGCAGCCAATCAGGAGGTAACATACTGTGAGCTTATATGAAATAACAACTGTGCTAATATTTAAACAAACTTACTTAAATACACTTTCATTGAGTCGTTGAATGTTTGAATGGGTAATGAGCTGCAGGCCAGTGTATTCACTTCAGTTAAGACTTTCTGCTGGTTCATCTTATTTAGTGCAAGAAATGCTAGAAATAGAAATGAGAATGAAATGAGAAATGATGAAAATAAAATATGCATTTTCTCATATTACAAGTCAATGCATCACTGAGATTTCAGGTGAAAGACAAACCAAGTATCTGTGAAGTGGATAGTAAGTTTTAATTTGTTTTTACAAAATGCAATGTGCTTCAATCAGATACCACTGAAATAAAATCTGGTGCAGCCAGTTGCAGAAAGCATTTAATTTCACTATTAAGGACTTAGAAGTTTGTTTGAGCAAAACGGCAAAATATTTTTTTTGTGCCTCATGCATTTTTGCACCAATGTGTATGCTTTTTGTGGTTCTCACATCCTGACAGAGATTTGATAGGAAGGCATAAAAAGGAGAATATAAATGAAAAAAAAGGCAATGAATGTCGATGCCAACTGTGGTCAGAGAGATGTGTGCTAATGAGTGTGCAGGTGTGTCTTTAGTAAAAGCTGAAAAAGTATGGAGACCGCAATCATAGTTGGAATAAAAAGTGTTGTAGAGGAGATAGTTTGAGCTCAAGTGTGTGTGAAATCAAAGATGCTTTTCTGAAGAAGTGAAAGTAATTTGACAAGCCTGTAGTTTTTAAAGTTTTTTCTTCTTTTTTCCTAGAAGAAACTTGATTTTAACCGAGCATTTGAGGCCCTGACAGACACGGCGGTAGGAAATGTAGCACCATTAGAAATTCTCACACCACTGAGCTGAGGTTAGAAAGCCTCTGCAGTACATCCTGGAGCTTCTCCCTTATATACGGGTAGCAGCGCGCGCCAGCTGTGGGCAGATGAGTGATTGGGCCTCGAGGCGGCAGACAGACGCTTGAACTGGCGTTGCTGAATAGAAATGTCTCACTTCAAGGGCTCCAGGGAGGCGTGAGCAAGCAAACTGGTAATTGATTTTGGATGGAAGTCTTGTATGAGTCCCATTTTCCTGCGGGCATTTTCACAACACTGCCGTGCCTCATGAAATCAGCACCTTTGACCTTGTGCAGTCACAGGTGCTTCAGTGGCCAAACACTCATTACTGCAAGGGATTCTAATTTGCTGCTATCAAATCAAATGTTATACTGGATTTGTTGGTAGCTATTGGAAGATACAATTAAAGGAATGAGGTTAACGCTACATGTTTAGAATTGTTTTTGTTTGTTAAAGTGAAACTTTGTCATACACAAAGGATGATAGGATTCTTTCTAGGATTCTCATTGTTCTTAGTTGATAAAATTAAGGTGTACATTGTCTTCTGCTCACAGACAGAGAGCTGAAACTTTATTTATTTAAAATTGTCTTGCAAAGCTGGTAAGTTTTCTTTAATGCTGTACACAGACAAACCTTGCAGGTCTGACTCCTGCAAAGCATATTTTTGTATTTTTAAGGAAAGATATTGTGCAATACTTTCCCTGTTTGTTTATTTTTTTAGGATCTTTCTGATCCTAAAGCAGAGACCCTCAAATTTTGTTGATATCAAGCTCTTATTTTGGACTTTTAATTTTAAAAATTTCCAAAAACTTTCAATTTCATCTTTAAAGTTTCTTATGGATAAAGTACAGTATTGGTAACAGTTGATTACAAATACCCTAAAAAAACCTGGCAGTTTAGGAAAAATAAATGCATTATTTTTGGCATTTCTAGTAACAAGTTTATTTGTTCAAGTCATCTGCATCAGACCTGAACATTTTGTGGTCTCCTTTTTGATATGAGGAAGCATTGAAAAGCCATTGATTAATAATAAATCTAAGCAGTAGATGACACTGCTTGGGAAAAAAAATCAGTATTTTAACCTCAACATGAAACCAGATCCTGCAGAGGATTCAACACGTTTGAAGTCATATAATCTGGTTAGTCCCACTTACATGTGGAGATCTGATTAGAGATGAGCAAATACCATCTGAATATGGAAATTGTTGAATATCTGAATATTTAGCCTTCATTTTCACAAGTTGTTGTTGAAAACAAGATGGCCATTTATCAAAACAGTCATATCGCATGTGAAATCCAAGTTTGATATTGGAATATTTAACATTTACATAGATGTAATCAGATTTATTTCCACTGTGCTACCTTTGAAATAACCCAAACGTAGCACAGGAAATCAGAAACAACTTTATTTTGACTTCAAGGAAAATGTTTTTGTACGAGGAAAGAAATTGGGGTTATTTTTTTCCCATTTGTGACCGATTGTAATTTAAGTAGACTGCTCCAGATTTCATGCTACTAGATGGATTCAATCTTCTTCAATTCAGCAAATTGCTTTGCAGAAAATCAAAATCACCCTTCACTCCTTCTAATAATTCAAATTTCTCCTTCAACGCGCTACTTCGGACATTTCTCTGTTGTAAAAACAGACAATAACATCAAATTGTCGCTTTTTTTCGTCCTTACTATTTTATCCCTTTCCTCTTAATGAAGATGGATCAACAACATCAAAAAGAAGTAAAAGGCAGCCTGTTCATTTTAACTTGTCGGTTCTGTTATTTTTGAGCTGGAGATGCATGTGCGGTACTCCATTCATTATTTGTTGGGCTTTCATCTCAGGGGTGGTGTTGGTGTTTGATCTCTGAGGTGGAGAAATTGCAGACGATCTCGGGATCGTCGAGGAAACAACCAGAGACGTGGTTCTGACCTCATTAAAATTAATGAACACAAATGCTCTGTAGTGTTTTAACCTTCATTGTCTGAAAGCAAAGAGGTCGTTCCACAGACTTATTTACGCTCCTGAGTCAGTGGCGTAAATAAGTTTACAACACAATGTAAATAATTGTGTTTATACCCTTGATTATCCTCTAAAGGAAAAGTGCATAACGCAAAACATGACCTTGTTTCTCTAATATTACACTGTAACGATCATTGTGCTTTTGTGCAGAATGACGTGTTTGAAACAAAACATTAGTGATGCTGGGAAATCCTCAAAGAAAAGCCAGAAAAAACAGAGTTGAGCCCGTTGAAAGCTTCTGTGAACTGAGAGCACAGAACCAGCCTGATGGAGCATTAACGTTCTCCCAGCACATCTCATGGATTGTTGTTGGAGCTGCTTCTTTGCTTGCTGAGGGATTATAGTTGAATAATGTGAGCCTTTTGTAGCTGAAGTGCTTTTGTGACCTTTACTGTAAGGAGGATGCTGGGGGTTAAAGCAAAGCAAGAAGCACAAGCAGGAAATGATCAGAGAAACGGACGACTTATGCAACACGGCAAATTACTTTGATCCTTGCGTCATTTCTTCCCTTCTGTAAGCATCTTCCTTTCTTTTATTCCTTCAGATATTTACTTCAATATTCTGTCCTTTCTTTCTTTCACACATTTTTTGTTTCTCCCATCTTTTTCACTTTTTTTGTACCTTCTTCAAGTCTTCCTACCATCAGTCTCTGCCTTCTCACTGCTGAAGTTTTCCTCCTCATTTACAAAATTCAAGAAAAGAAATTGAAGAAATTCCTCTCCTGTTTAACCACAGAAAGATTTCTTGCTGTTTAATGATAGGATATTAAAAGATAAAATGCAGCAGAAGCTCCTCAGACTTTTAGACTTTAGCACAGACAAAGGTAGTAATGAGCCAGGAAATCCAGCTGCATTCAATTTCAGCACTAACTCAACTCCTCCTCCCTGAAAGGAGGTTTTTCTGTTTACTTTGAGAAAACTGTTCTCCAATCTATAGCCTTACATTGCTGTTTTTAGGAGAATTATACTAGGGCTCGGGTTTTTACTTCTGCTCTGCTTTTAGAGGTGCAAAGAGATGCATTCAGTTTGAGTCTGGAGGTAAATTTAAAGGATTTTGTTCAACAGATAAAGAAGCACTTTGTAGATACAGAAGATATGTGCAGGAGTCGCTCAAGAGATAAACATTGTGTCACTATAGAACTGAAATTACTGCGATTTAATGAGACTTCCAGCTTCATTGTTCTGTGAATTCCTCTGCAATGACCTGCTATAATGTAGATGTTCTACTAGCTGATTGTGTAATGAACAGTTTTAATTTACCTGTGTTTATGATGGTACAGATTGTGGCCTTACGAGAGCAAAATGCTCACCTTCAGAGGAAAGTTGCGTCCGGTGAAGGAGGGGATGACCTACTGGAGGGCAGCGAAACACAACAAAAGCTCCACGGCAAGGTGAGTCTAAATAAAATAAACCATACTGTGAGACATTTATTTAAAGGGAATAAAGAAGATTTCAAAATCCAAATATATTTCCTTAAGAGATGAATTTGTCTGTCTTTTAAGAAGGGCTGGTAATCTTCTTTTAGGGAGCTGACAGGAACGTCTTTGTGCACCAAGCAGTCAATAAAAACTATTGACACTCGTCCAACTTCTGCTGCATTCATTAAGAGGACTATGAACTAAATTTAGGCAGTTTTCGAGCTGTAACTTGATTTTAGCATAATTTATTTGACATCTTGGTCAATGAAATCCACTTTAAAGTCATGATCGTTCTTCCCTCCTTTACTGAATGTAAAGTTGCGTCAATTTGTAATAATAACTTCAAAACTCATGGAACTGCATCTTGTTTCACTACGCCACACAGATTTTGTTTTATATCAGCATTATCAGAACTCCAAACCTAATATATGATGTTAAAAAATATTTTCATGCACACAGGCAGCTGGATAACTATTCAGCTGCTCAATAGGAAGGCTGTTACTTGGCTGGTCCTCTGCAGGCTGCAGCTTGGGGGAGGAGAATAGGCGGGTGTGGAGAGTAGAGAGATGAAGAGTTTGCATGCTGAGGCGAGAGGTAATGAGAAGACGGTTATCATCTGCTCTGTTCTGTGGAGATAAAATAAAGGAATATAAACACAGGCTGTTTTCTGCATGTTAATGTTTAGCTGCGTGTTTCTCATATGATGCGACGAAGGCAAAGTTTTAACCTTGCGATGATGGAGAGGTTTCGTCATTCAGCATCACTGCAGTCACAAGGACTGACAGAGACGCTGCTGCAAACACCATTAGCTGAGAGTGACAGCCTGTCCTGTGATGTAAAATATACATGGCTGTGGCCTTAATGTGGCAGGTAGGAAGAGGTCAAGGGCAGGAAAGGTCACGCTTTCTTTCGGTTTCAGAAATCATTAATACTTTTGTTTTCTGTTCTCACTCCTAATTCCTTAAGTGTATATCTTATTTTGTCTAACAAACCTTTATTGTTATGAGGTAAAAATAAACTTTTATGAGAGATAGACGCATATAGAAGTTTCAGTTGATGGATGGGGAATTTTATACACATTTTGCTAGTTTTGAACCAAAATCAACTTTTGAAATGTGACTTTACTTTGTAAACTAACTAATCTCTGTAAATCTAAAAATGTGCTCAATAAAAAAAGAGGCAATGGTTCAGTTTGGAGATGAATCAGTCATCTTCCATTTGTTTCTGGTGCTATGCTAATGAGTCAACTTCTAAACAGCTTTCAATTTAAATAAATCAGACATTCTCCAAAAGTTTATGGTTAGGTTAAAGCATAATAATGTGAACCTTTTCTTATTTGTCCTCAAGATGCTTAATGATCTCTACTCAACTGCTCAGCATAGGTTGAAAAATGTCAGTTCTATTTTATGGAAGGTGTTTCTTTCCTATGTTGACCTTATGCATGTTGTATCTGCCTCTAGCGTCTGTCGAATGGCTCTCTGGAGTCGGCCCGCGAGGCGAGCCAGGTGGTGGAGCTGCAGGATCTGCTGGAGAAGCAGAATTACGAGCTGGCCCAGATGAAGGAGCGCATGTCCTCTCTGTCCTCCAGGGTGTCCGAGGTGGAGCAGGAACTGGAGACTGCCCGCAAAGACCTCATCAAGTCAGAGGAGATGAACAACAAGTACCAGAGAGACATCAAAGAAGTAAACGCACATACACATTCATACACAAGTGCACACATAGAAAAGAGGGAAACATGCATATTTCTAAGTTGGGGAGGAAAAAGACATGACAGAATCCTTGCAGTGGTGTGAAAAAGCTGACATATCAAATCAAATGTGTCCTATATAAATGGACATTTTTCTCACTATTTGAAATTAAATTAAATTTTCTCTCTCTTAGCCTAGTAATAAAATTTATTTTTCTAAACGCTAGAATACATAGTTTGCTGAAAATTTGGCCTGTTCCTCATGGACTGATCTGATGCAACATTTTAAGGTGCTTAAATGTTGCTTTATAAGCCATAAGTCCGTCATTAAGTCTTCCCCAAATGGTTTAAAGCCACTTTGAATGTCCACTATGTTAAAATATTTCACAATCATTTTCTCTTATGGTATTTAGCAAATATAAATAAGTTTGGCCATGTTTGACAACGAGAAAGTTTATTTATTCATCTAGTTTTAATTTCAATCTCTAAATATTTGCATACCTTCTTAAAAATGCTGTAAAATGTCTACATTTCTAATATGTTAAATTCTAGTTCGTAAATATTTAACACAATGCAACATACAGCAGAGAATATGAAGAAAATAATTCAGAAAATAGCTGACAGCACAATAACACAGACATGTACTTGTTCACTGTGCCTATGTATATAGGCTGATACCTCTTTGAACTATGACTGAAATTACTATTGATTACCAACAATGCAGGCTGAGGCATTTATTGCTGCTTTATTGGAAAGACGGCTTGTTATCACCGTTATCTGTCTTTTCTGAGAGCTGCAGCATCTGTCCACCCTTGCAGGATGACTATTTCTTGTTGCTAAGTTGGGAAAACAATGTAAGCTTTTTTGTCTCCTGCAGTTCTTTGTGCAGAAAATGAACTCATAGTCTTTACGGCAGTGCTGTCACTGCGAAGCAGAACTCTGTTGCAGTTGCATTCACATCTGTGTCTCTAAAAGTCTGATCTAACACAGAAGTAAAATATAAACACCAGGATCTTGTTCTAACTGATAATTGTGTGCAGGTCATGTGCCAGAAGGAGGACATGGAGGAACGCATCGTCACGCTGGAGAAGCGCTACCTGAGCGCGCAGCGAGAAGCCACGTCTGTGCACGACATCAACGACAAGCTGGAGAATGAGTTGGCCAATAAAGAAGCATTCCTTAGACAGGTAGGTAAAAACTGCTGAGGATCTAAAAGGGCTCAAAGATCTCGGTAGACTCTGAGGGCAGTTTACTATGAGGTACTAGTGGTTTGGTTTTTCCCTGAGGTTGAACTGTTACAGGGTTTCTTGACATTGTGTCAGGTCATTACAGAGTAATCTGGAGCTGCGCACGTGTCTTATAACAGTCTGATCACTACAGAATGAGATGCGTTATAAAAGTAATCCAAAGTTTTCAAAGTCACAGATAATCTAAGTGTCGAAGTACTTCAAGTCCAAATGGAGGTTTGGATTCCTTTTTGTTTGTCTTCATCCTAATGAAACATAGATTTGAAAGAACATTTATTTTATTTTATTATTTTTTTTGCTGGGAATGCTGGTTTGCAATAGTTAAAATTTTTCAGAGGTCTCATCAAAATGCACAGTACTGGATCAGCTGACTCTCACTTTTCCCAGTGTTTTCTGCATGCTTGACTGCTCATTATTCTGCCTTTAGGTGTTAATGTGCAACCTCTATGCAGAAGCTCAAATTAGTTTTACCTCACACCATATTCACACAGCTGAGAATACTTATATCAAATTAAATCATGACAAAGCATCTGAAAACTTCAATATTTTTGGAATTTAACAGTGTTTAAGACATCAGAACTCTGTATTTTGAGCTCCTGACAGTCTGTGCAGTGAGTCCATTTGTCCTGTTGGCAGCAGATGAAGCCCAGGATGCCCACTTATGTTTGAAGATAAGGTGTTGTGGGAACGCAGACTTGGCCCTGGGTCCAGAAACGTGAAGCCATGAGAGGACATGGCAAGCAAAACGGCCAAAAATACACGCAGAAGCTCATCTGCGGGGCAAGTTACAAACCAAAAGCAGACTGCCATGATTCCCCAGAGTGACCTCATAACTGATGGGACTCCAAACTGAAAATATCACTGACACAGAAACAACACATTCTTGGCCCACTCCAGTCAAATGATTGCATATTGAGTTGCCAGGCTTGATGCTTATGGGATCAAATCATCTGTCACTGAAAGCAAAGGCTGCCATCCGAGTCACAGTCATGCTGCTCAGCGCTCCATAAAGAGCAAGGACAAAAGTCTCGACACACATCAGGGAGATATGTCACTCAGCAACACTGAGCTTCATTTGTGTATTTATGAGAAACACCTTATAAAAATGCTTAGTCGTGGAAAGTATCTGCTAGTTATAAATTGCAATTGGCGGATGCAGAGTTGCTGCACTTAAGTAGCTGTTAAGTGAAAGAAGACAGATAAACATTTGTTTATTTATTGTTTAAAAAGTATCACATCAGAAAAGTCGGGGATTAAAATTTAGAAAATTCTTACAATAGATCAAATTCTACTCATGTGTTAGAATGGTCTAGTCAAAGTCCTGACCTACATAAACTTGAAAATTAGCGTCAAACCTCGGAGTCTAACACATAGATGCTCTTCTATATGACTGAAAGCCTTTGAGCTGTAATTGTAATTTTTAAAACCTGTTAAAGGACGTTAATCATTTGTGGTTGTATTGTGACAAAATGTGAACATTTTCAAAGAACTATAAATTCCTCGTCAAGGCTGTGCAGACCCGACGGATCAACCAGAGCTCTGCATGTGCTGCTAATAAACACCGACTGAAACAAACGGCGGTGCTTATGTGAATCCTGGTGTTGCTGTTTGTGTCCAGATGGAGGAGAAGAACCGGCAGCTGCAGGAGAGGCTGGAGCTTGCAGAGCAGAAGCTGCAGCAGACCATGAGGAAGGCGGAGACGCTGCCAGAGGTGGAGGCAGAACTGGCCCAGAGGATAGCCGCCCTCACCAAGGTAGGAATGCAAACTCGTACGCACATTCCCACAGACACCCTGACCTCCAGATGCTCCTGCGCTGCCGTGTGTCACGCCACATTTCAACGTGTTCCTTCTCCTCTTCCTCGGCTGCATAGTCTGACTCCAGCTCCTCCTCCTCCCCTGATGATTATCACTTTATTATGGAAGCTAAGCTTGAAGACATGAACTCCATTCTTAGGAAGGTAGACCCCTGGGGAATTCCAGCTCCTGTAGTGAACAGTGTTTAGTAGCAGTCGGTCACTGGGATTCTCCTCTGGCTGTTCGGCCACCAGTGGGACAGCTGCATGGCTCGCCTCACTGGAGCTCTTACTTTCCTGTGCTGGAGAGGCTCTCTTCCTCTTTTATGCAGTCCTTTTCATTGTGGTTGTGATCTTGTCCCCTTTCACTCTTCCTCTCAGATCGCTCTCAATAGTTATGCTTTTTAAACTGTATCTGATTCTCACTTTCTGGTTCAGGGCTTTGCTTTTGTAGTCGTATCTGCTTTTTATTTTTTCTGCTGCCCTTTCTGCTCTAAACAGGCCCTTCTTTCTGTCCCCTCTATGTTTTAATCCATCTGTAGGCGGAGGAGCGTCACGGGAGCATTGAGGAGCGAATGAGGCACTTGGAGTGCCAGTTGGAGGAGAAGAACCAGGAGCTGCTCAGGGTGAGTCAGTGCGGAGGAGTCGTGCCAGGCAACATTAACCAGGCAGACAGTTTGATGTGACAACAACCGATGACACATTTTTCGGATTTATCACCACTGAAGCCTGACCAAATGTGTGGTTCACACTCTGCTGAAAGAGTAGTCCTCACAAATCATCCAGCCATGTCAAATTTATTTTAGGATTAAAATCTTCACAGCATTTCTGTAACACTGTCACAATATGCTGCATCATACAGAAATGCCAGACAGTTTAAAATTGATCTTTTTGTCCCTTTTAACACCATTTTGAATAAGTGAAAACTGAACATATATAGAGTGCTATCCACTTTTTTTCACCCAAAGTACATATGTGTAAAAAAAGTCTTCCATAAATTGGGTAAAATGTTATTTTGTTGTTTAGTAGATTTTCTCCAGACCATTAATCTTCATGGAATGCATATAAATTTATCAAATTCTGCACATAATAAGGTTTGTTGGTCTAACCAGCATATAAGGCAAACAAATAGTTTGGTTAGAAAATCACACAAGTTGAATTAGTTTATTTAGCTTTAATCAAACTAGCAAGTGCCAAACTTTAAAGGCTAACGTCATTGTTGCCGTCCTTTCTTTTAGTTTTCCAAAACATAAAATGGGTATTTTAATGATTTGACCTTTTTAAATGAGGTTTTGATGATTAAATGTCTCCATGACACCTACTGCTCAGAGATAATTGATGTGGAGTGAAAATGAAACACAGAAATCAGCAGATGACATTCTAGGATATAAAAAAATATTTTTAGAAAAAGAGCACAAAACAAGCTTTTCCATGGAACTGCAATGTAAAATGATTTCTAGAAAAAGTATTAAAAATACAATCTTCACATCAAAATTTATAGCCAAAGGTATAAATACATCTCTTCTCGCTGACACAAAAAAGTGCATGAAAATAAAAAAAATAAAAGTGAATATTTCCAAAATATTATTGCAGGTATTTTTTAAAAACTGGTTTGAAAAAAATTACCCAGTTCATTCAAATGATTAGTTCATTTGTCTCCTACTAAGTGAAACTTGCCAGCAAAAAAATGAAACCTTTTTGAGTTTGTTGTTTTTTTTGTTTTCCAACTAACTTATAAGTAATATAAGTTAGAAGAGATCAGACTTTTCACAAGGGTCACTAAAGCGCAAGAGGTTTGACATATTTTTAAGTTTTTTTGATGAAACTTACAAAACCAGTGACTCAACTCAGTTTGGTCATTTCTGTGTTTTACCCTCTAGGCACGGCAAAGAGAAAAGATGAACGAAGAGCACAACAAGCGACTCTCAGACACGGTGGATCGACTCCTCACCGAATCGAACGAGCGCCTCCAGCTTCACCTGAAGGAGAGAATGGCAGCTCTGGAAGAGAAGGTCTGCAGACGCCTGACAGCAAAGCGTCAACTCATTCATATCGGTTCTCAGCGACTGATTGTTGCTGTTTGGTCTCGTCTTTGCAGAACATGTTAATTCAGGACTCGGATGGATACAGAAAACAATATGAAGAGTCTATACATGAAAAAGTATGCTGCACTTTTAAATTGATTTTAATCAGAAAAAATAAGCTTAGCAACAATAACAGTGAAATAGAAAGTTGTCTTGTAAGTCTTGTATCATTGAAAATGATGATAAGTTTGTTTTGTCCAGTCTCAGCTGGCAGAGGAGATTGAGAAGCTGAGATCGGAGCTCGACCAATACAGACTGAGGGCGGGATCCCTCACAGAACCCACGCTGTCTCGGTAGGTTGCTAGTGTGAATCCCTTTGTGTTGGGCCTGCTACATACACATGCTGCCCTGTCACTTCTCTTACAGTGAAACATGTACGTGTGATCTAAAGTGTTGCATATCTGATGGATATGTTGCTAATCTAAGTAAACATGCAGAAGGAGTTTTTTGTCACAGTTTGTATAGGGTGTGTTTATTGTAACATGCAACAATAGGTTAAAGATGCAGTTTAAGTGTGAAGATATTAAATTATATATTATCTCTGTTTATTGGAAGCATCTGATTCGCTCCATTACACCACAGTTGGCAATGCTGCTTTTGCTGATTTTCTGGTAATTCTACAGATATTTCTTTTATGCACCATGAACTTTAAATATTAGAAGGCTGGTGTGTTTACATCAGCAATGCTAATGTAGGCCATAGACAATTTAAAGGCACAGACCATGAACATTCATTCTGCTTGAGGGAGGTTGTGATTGGTTTGCTGCCTGCTTAACTGAACATTTTCCCTCTCTAATCTTTCATTTTCCACCTCACTGCTCAGACAGTTCCTTGTTTAGTGATTGGTCTAAGAGCAGAAAACAAGTTCAGATGTGATTCACTTTAAACACAAGTTGGCTTTGTTTTAGGGTAACAATGCAGAGAAGTTGATTTTTGATTTAAATGTGCATTTTAGGTCTCATCTTGACACATCAGCTGAACTTCGTTTCTCGTTGGGATCTCTGGCGGAAACCCAGTCGGACCATTACCGCTCAGCCAAAGTCATCCGCCGGCCGAGAAGGGGGCGAGTAGGTCTACGGGAAACAAAGGTGAGGCGCATTCCCTGCAGTTCACCTGCAACTGTTTGCTTTAGATTAAAAAAAAAACATCAAATAAAAATATACAGCACTCTGAGGGAAGAGTTCAAATAAAACTCACGTAACCTTTTCCCAAGAATATACGTTTTTTCTTGTTGGAAATAATTTTGTTTCCATGTCCAGGCAAAATCGCTTGGCGAGCACGAATGGCGCTCTCAGCAGCTTGGAGTTCTGGGAGGCCACCACTTTGAGAGCGACACCGAGATGTCGGACATCGACGATGACGACAGGGAAACGTTATTTAGCTCCATGGACCTTCTCTCCCCCAGCGGCCACTCCGATGCACAAACTCTGGCCATGATGCTCCAAGAGCAGCTGGATGCCATCAACAAGGAGATACGGTACCTCACACACACGCTACTCAAGAATTATTTTTCAATTCTGCTCCATTATTTTCAGAGTAAGTTTCTAACTTCCTTTATTTTCTTTATTACTTCACCATTCAAAGAATAGATCAGAATATCAGCTTTCTAGCAGATTAGCATCTATTAATTAAAGTCTGCACACAAGTTTGTGCTGATTTCTACATTTTATATTTGTTAGTAAATACGGTAATGATCTTTTGCTCTCCCTAAAAACAATACCAGAGATTTCATGTCTTCCTGACAACATTTTTTGGGAAGTGCTCTGCCTCTTACTTCCTAGTGCTGTAATAAAAAGGTGCTGATCAGTATTCATGGCCTGAAACACAACTTCACTTTATTTCAAGGAGTGTCAATAAGCTTGTTGCTGATTTGCATTCACCCCAACAGAAACGGATCACCATTCCTTCTGCAGCCACTTCATTTTAGTCTGACTGAATGTAATGATCATGAATCCTCTGAGTTTTCCTCTCAGCTAATTACAGAATTAGATCCTGGATATACTTAAAATGGATTACCTTACGTTTAGCCCTTAATTAGTTCGCCTTCAGTCTGAAGGTATTCCAGGACTTTTGTGTTTTTCAAAGCACACCCTGAAGACCAGAACATAACAGTAAATTCTGGAACAATCTCGCTCTCTTCGCATTAAGCCCTCTAAATGCGCACAATTTACCACAACAGGGACTGTTATTACCAACTAAAATCCTCATATGACTGCTTTACGTTCTCTTCTACAAAACATTTACAGCACAATAAATGCGCTCCAAATCGTTCTTTGTTCAGGCTGATCCAGGAGGAGAAGGAGTCGACAGAGCTGCGAGCGGAGGAGATTGAGAACCGGGTGGCCAGCGTCAGCCTGGAAGGTCTTAACCTGGCTCGTATGCACCACCATGGAGCCTCCATCACTGCCTCAGCCACCGCCTCCTCCCTGGCCTCATCTTCCCCACCCAGCGGCCACTCCACCCCTAAACTAGACCCTAGAAGTCCGGCACGGGACATGGAGCGCATGGGAGTGATGACTCTGGTAAGACGCAAACTGTCGCACCAAAACCTTTCCTGTCACAGGAATATATGCCTTGATATAAATTTTTTTGATTATATCTGAAGTTTCCTGTGTCTTCATAGATATTCCTCATGAAATTACAGAAGATGTGAGTAAATCTAGTTGCTCTGACCCTCAAGTGTAATAAGAAGTTTCAAGGACTTAAAAAAAAAAAAAAACTTTTAGCAGCTTGAAAGCAAAATGTTTTTCTTCTCCCAACACTGAAGTTTAATTAGCTGCTGCAGATAGTTAATGATAGATAATAGTATGAAGTTTATGTCACATCCCCCTCAAAACTGTAAGGGGGATGTGAAATAAAATATTAAAATATTCGCCCTCCATCATTTATATTCCACCTTAGCTGTGACTTTAACCATTGCTGCTAACAAGAGTCCCTCAGTGCTAACACAGGTATTCAAGAATGTTGTTACTCAGTGTATAGGGTGATTTAAAAATAAAAAAAGATGCAGTTTTGAGTTCAAAACTGGCTGGTCATATATCAGGAACATTCATGATGAAAATCAGACAATTTCAAACTATTTTTTTGTTAGCAGTTCCTTTAGGAAGAGATGTTCTGCACATCGGCCTGCCTACTGACTGAAGGTTTCAACAGACCAAAAAGAATAAATAGTTCTAAAAATAAGAATTTAATGCAAATCCACCACAGCTACACAAGGTTATGATGTGTAAATTTATTTATTTTAAAGGCTTTGATGTGGTTGATCAAATGACTGGTTTGGCAACGGCTCATAGGTTTCTACTAGTGCATGATGTTTATATTCAGTGCCAACCTTTTTATATGCCGTTTACCGTTTCATCCTTGTTTTCACACATGCATACTAACACATCAACATTATCATCCTTTTTTTTATCTCTCCATTCTGCAGCCCAGTGATTTGAGGAAGCACAGGAGAAAGGTACAGGCAACAGCACATCTGATGAACTCATTTACACTCAGGTCTCATAGTTCTCTTTAATGGCGGCTGTAATGGCACCATGAAGGAACTGTTGGCTTGCTTGCAGTCAGGTATACCTGATTCATGTTGCTCCGCTTTGTCCTCGTCCCTCAGATAGCGGCAGTGGACGAGGATGGCCGAGAGGACAAGGCCACCATCAAATGCGAGACGTCACCTCCTCCGACGCCGCGCACCGTACGAATGACGCACACACTGCCAGCCTCCTCGCACAACGATGCACGAGGGTACGTTTCTTTGCTCAAATATTTATGAATAAGACTTGTAAACCTTCCTTTCTCACCAGCGTTGTCTATTTAAATTTTTGCCCTCAGGATTGTGGCTTCTCTGGAGGCTGAAGCCAGTGCCCTAAGTAGCGTAGCCAGCAGCCAAGACTCCCTGCACAAACAGCCGAAGAAGAAAGGGATCAAATCCTCCATTGGACGATTGTTCGGCAAAAAGGAAAAAGGCAGACTGGCACATCTACACAGACAGGTCATGGTAGATCCACAAGGTCAGTGATGCTTTCAGAATTTTGGGTACAATTTAAAACATATTTAAGTTATTTCAAGCTTTTTAACATAGAAGAAGAAAAAATGTGAATAATATAAAAGATATTGAAGCGCTTCAGTTTTTGATTGTGCTAAGGGTTTTTTGGGTGCATACAGAACAGTTTGAACCTTTGTTTAGAAATTATGAAATAGAAGTAAATCACTAGTTTAATTGAAGAAAAACTAGAAAATGAAAAGTCTTACTTTTATGCCTTTTGGTCCTTCTTTGTCACTTTACTGAATGGTCATGATTGGGAATCATTTTACCCAAAGATCTAAATAAACCCATGTTCTTTAAATGTCAACATCGAAGTTAAATAAGCCACAACTTAATTGCATGGCAAACATTTTAAATTATACTAATTATACAGAAAATTGAAGTCGGCTTCTGTCTTTAACACGTTGCTTAACGGGCACCATGTGAGGCTAAAGCGAATGATTAAAGCTATAAATCATCTCACAGATGGTAAACGTCTTACACAGGAAATGAGGCATGATATCTTTGTTTGCCTATATAAAATCTTAATTTTTGTGCGTGACATTAAAAAAGACAACACAAGTGGGCTCTTAGTGTTGCTTCTGTTAATGTCTGCTAAAAATACAACAGTATCAGAATATTTAAACAAAAAAACTAAATAAATCATGTATTAAAGTTCTGGTTTTATTGTGGGATTCACATGAAGAAACTAATCAGTAACAGTAGTTTGATGAATACCTTGCTTATCTAATTAAATGTTAAAATTTACTGTTTCTTCTTTTTTATCAGCCACAATGATGGACCTCGACGGGTCGGGCCAGGACATGGGGGTGGGCAAGTTGGGCACTCAGGCTGAGAAGGACCGCAGATTGAAAAAGAAGTAAGATCTTGAGTTGCTTTGACCACCATTTTAATTAGAAATGTGTTCAAATGTGACCAACAATAGCACACACTCTCTTCTTAAAATACACTTCCTGCTACTGAGCAGTCAAATCTATTCTTTAAAACACAGCCGGCCTCTATTTTCAGCGTTTACCTGATCTGCTAGCACTCATTTCACTGTATGAAATAGTAAATCCGATGTTGGGAACAGAGTCGATAGACAGCAGAAGCCGGATCGGTGTCCAGGAGCAGATATCAGTGTTGCTGTATTCAAACACAGAGTCAGAGTCAGACTATTGATCCAGCCTGAAAAGCCAATTAATCCCATAGAGGTGCTCTTGTCAATTTGGAAGCTATAGGCGGCTTTCCCAACCCAGCACTCATAGATTACACTTCAGAGTGTTCACAATATGCAGTATGTGTGTGATTGTGTGTGTGTGTGTGTGTGTGTGTGTGTGTGTGTGTGTGTGTGTGTGTGTGTGTGTGTGTGTGTGCATTTGCCATGCTCCGGTGCCAAATGATGAATGTCATTTGCTCGAAGTGCACATTCAGTTGTCATGACAAATAACTTTGCCTCCCATGTAGTTGGTCAATATAAAGTGGTTGTTGTATGACAAATGTGCTGTTTTCCTTCCACCGCACCGACTTCTCCATAGCGGCGTCCGGGACCCGGGCCTCGCCACCACCCTGCATCTTGGTGCCTCCTCCACACTGCATGCCATTATAAGCTGCCTGCACTTTCTTTCCATTTCAGCATCTTGATCGATCAAACTAAACGCTGCAATGTCATTGTGGACTAGTTGTGTATTTTTCCTTCAAAAAGTAACTGAGCATTTGAATGTAAGGCCATGGAAGTTGGGTTTGGGGGTGTTCTTGTTGTTTCTCATTCCCTCTGCTGCACGAGATTTGTAGAAGATGACATTTTCTTTCACTGGTCTACAGATGCTCCTGTAAAACGAATGTCCTCCATAGTGAGACGTGTTTGCGTGTGTGAGTGCGTGTGTGTGCATGTGTGTTTTTAAAGTCATTTTGTTAATTGCCTTTTATCTCATTAACATTTGTGTACTTTTGTCTCCCCGTCGCTCTTTCTCCCCCTCTTTCTCTCTGACCCTTCCTCTCCCTTTCATCATCCTCTGACTCTAACAAAGCGGGTAAGTTGTTGTGAGGATGTCTAACTGACCTCCTGGATATGACCGTTGTTTGAGCCATTTTTGCGCTGTCTGCCATCTCTCCTGTCTGTCCAACCATGTCCTGAAAGAACCAGTGCCAAAGCTGACGTCTCTTATCTATCTACCCTTTCTTTGTGGCTGTTAACGAAGCCATTGCTTTCTTTCTGTTTTCATTTACCATCTGAAGATGTTTCTTCCTCCCCCATCCTCCTTTCTACAGCTCAATGGCAGCTGCGCCTACGGCAGGACAGAGGTTGTGCCGCCGCTAAGACTGGGGTTTAATTTTCACACCCAAACTCTCTTTTCTCCTTTTATGTGTCTCTCTTTTTCTGTGTGTGAAGTAACCAGCTGCAGAATCTGGTTATGGGTGTGTTTTAGGTTTTTTTTTTTTTTTAGTTTTTGATTTATCATAACTTTTTTCTGACTTCCCTCTCCCCAGCTATGTTCAGTGGATGTATTTCACCATGCATTAGCCGCAGGCTGAACATAAAATATCAACTATCTCCCTCCATTTGCTCAGTAGATTAAGACGGTGAATGTACTTGATTGTATTTGGATGAACACATTTCTTCTACCATCTGTAGGCTTTTTGTTTTCTGTGTATAGTGCCTTGCAGAAGCATTCATGCAACTTGAACCTTTTTGCATATTTTTAATTCTACAACCTCAAATTCAAATGCATATTATTCAGATTTAATATGATAGATGAAAAATTATACATATTTAGCATTTTTCTCAATAAAAAAAGCTTGAAATGGAAAATTACTTTTTGTCATTTAGTTATATATTCGGAAGTGTTCAACTGTTAGTTGTGTCATTCATTACATACATTGCATTTTTGTAAAAATCCTCCCTATGTGGAACATTTTAAATAAAAAAAAAACATTCTGTTGAAGTACCAGCCCTGGTACAAATACAGCTGGCCTAAGATGTTTGCTGGTGGGCAACAATTGAAGACGTCTCAATGGAAAACATCCATCTATATCCACGTAAATACAAATGCACGCCACACCTTTTAGATTTTTATGTGTGAAAAAAGAGAGATTATAATTCAACTGTAGTTACTATGCACTACTTTGTGTTAGACTGACACATTTTGAAGTTTTTAGCTTAAAAATGAAAAAAATGTGAAAAAGTTTAAGGGGTCTTAATACTTTTGCAAGCCCACTGTATGTTGTGATAAAGCACCTTTTCAGTGTATTAAGGCCTTTAATGCTTTGGTGCTACATATATCATGTTTATTTATTTACCCACTCCTTCAATTTGTCAAGCCCTTTGACAACACACCTAAGGAATGGGTTGTTGAGTTTTTTTGTTATGAAATGTGTTCACAAAACAGAATAATGATTTATTTCTGTGTGTAGGTATGAGGATGTGTTTGTAAGTCGCTTTTGACTATTAAACAACACTCCATCTCAATGTGGGAGGATTCAGTACAATGCAAATTGCCGTGTGCATGACAAACTAAGGGGATCTATTCACTGCTTCTAGTCAATAAGGTGCAATTTACATCACGCTGACTAGGTCGGCTCCAAGTGAGGCAAAGCGGAACCTTACTCAGCTCTCTCAGGATGCACTTCACCACCTGCTAAACAAAACCATGGAGCACAGCCCAGAAAATCAGAGCAAAACTTGCACATGAAATACCCTACTGCATAATTCAAACACTGGAGCAAAAGTATCTTTGCACAAGTACCAAAACAAAAAAATCAGTATCAGCAGAATGAAGTGAGTGGTTGAATTGGGAATTTGGAAATCCTGGCTAGATTTGAGGTGCGTTATCTACTGAGCAGTGAAGTGTCATCCAGATGGATGTTTGGTTTTATGCGCTGTTAGCCTCTTTTCAAGAAAAAACTCATCTGGTAGCTTAACATATAATGTCTTGTAAATATGTTCATCCATGTTTTACTGTTTCTTTTTTTTTCATGTTACAACAACAAACAATGTATTTTGTGGGTGGATTTTGTACAATCAGCATTTAGTGGTGCATAATTGTGAAGTGAAAGGTTTACTCCTTCAGTTTTTTGTAAGATGTTCAAAGCTAGGGACTTTGTTTATGACTTCATATATCATCTACCCATCACGTAAAATCTCAATAAAATACATTGAAGTTTAAAATTGTAACATGTCAAAAACATGAAGAGTTTAATGTGTAGGAAATATTACTGAGCAGTAGCATTTTAATGCCTGTGTGTGAGTGAGTATCTCTGAGAGTGCGGATAGATTCATGTGCCTTCTCCACTCTGGAAGCACAGAGATAAATGATAAAGCATTGCCCTTTTCAGCATGCTTGGTGTGCAGGCTGGTCTCGGAGATAAAACGAGCTGGAGCGCTAACCTCTCATGCACTGAGCACACACAGGAAGAAAAAACTCCATGCGCACAAGATAAAAACAACAACAGCAGTGTTACTGGAGAGATTTGGGTGAAGTGTGTGAGGATGCAAGCATATTTAGTAAGACGTGTCAGACTGCTCAGCTGTATGTTCGAGACGTACAAGTTCACATGTTCACTCGAGGTCTCCTCTGTCCTCAGGCACGAGCTTTTGGAGGAGGCAAGGAGGAAAGGATTACCGTTTGCGCAGTGGGACGGCCCCACAGTTGTAGCCTGGCTGGAGGTAAACATCATTTTATGTTGCAGGTAGAATCAGACATGAACCTTTTCAACACTTTGCAGCTTTATTTACGGTGGGGCAGCTTCCAGGATTGTGTTCAAGGGGTAAGGGGAAAAAACATCAGGGTAGAAAGTTCCTCCAGGAAAGACCTTGGTTTGGAGAAAGTTAATATTTTTTTGTTTGACCTTTTCAACAGTCTCATGGTCCACATAGACGTAAAACAGAAAAAAGACATGATAGATTTTATGAAAGATTTGCATACCAATGATTCCACAAAGCCGACTGGTGTCGTAGCACACTTTTAGCAAGGCTTTTTTTTGTTTTGAAAAGGCTTTTTCAACTTATCTGTGCAAAAAAGAAGGAAAATCCAGCAACTTATTGACAACTTCTAACTCTATTTTTCTGTTTGAAACCCGCAGTCCCTATAGAAAGAGCGCAACTCTTGCACTGAGTGGGTGTGATTTGCTTCCAATAATTTGATAATAAAAAACAGTGATTTAAATATATTAGTTTAATTCATGGCATTCCTTAAAATAGAAATAAGTGTTGAACAGTGCAAAGATACAGCCTGGTGAAGACATTTTCACTCCTCCCTTTCCCCATAAGGACAGAGTCGAATGGGATTATGGAGGCTGGCGGTTATATTTGTGAGCTGCAACATTTATTGCAAGCATTACAACTTTTACTAGGAAAGTTGTAATGCCAGATAACATGGTCTAATTCTCACCACTCTGTTATTGTTAAGATAAGATGGAAAAGCAATGGACTGAAGGAACATGTTGATATTTAAAGGACACTTTCAGCAGGAATTTAAATAAAAAAGACATGATAATCATAGAGTATGAAGTGCTGGAAAAGAGACAATATTCAAAGTCATTTCTGCTCAAATTTAAACAGCAGTAATATATTGACTAATATGTTTGAGCAGCTCATATCTATATGTTAATAAATCACTTGTTAACGAAACAGTTAAGTGACATTCAATGATTTCCTCATCGCCCTCCCTGTTTTCGCTGCAGTTGTGGCTGGGAATGCCAGCCTGGTACGTGGCGGCGTGCCGCGCCAACGTGAAGAGCGGCGCCATCATGTCTGCGCTTTCCGACACCGAGATCCAGAGGGAGATCGGAATCAGCAACCCACTGCACAGGCTCAAACTTCGTCTGGCCATCCAGGAGATGGTCTCCCTCACCAGCCCCTCGGCCCCACCCACCACCAGAACCGTGAGTCACGGTCACAAACGTTTGTGGAAAGTTGCAACTGGCTTGAAGGAAGAAATAATTCATAATTCCTGGAAAACAGTTTAAGATTTCTTTGCAAAAAAAAATAAAAAAAGTCAAACAGTAGCTGAGTTTATAGCTCCCTCTAGTGGGTTAAGCCAGCATATCTCATGACAAACTGAGGTTGAAAGCTCAGAAAAATAAAATGGAGCATTCTGACTGTAATGTGTCAGTGTTCCAGTTACCTGCTGAACGTCTCGTTCTTTCTCACAGCCTGAATGACCTACAGACAACTCTGAACATGTCATAGAAGATATTCCATTTAGTTTTACTTTCCAAATGGACAGGCATCAAACAGAAAACACAGGTTGAGTTTTCTGGGCATCGCCAATATTAATACTAACAGGGTCCATTTTAAACGTTCACAAAATCTAAAAGTTAGCATTTTTGCATGCAACCCCCGTAACTAAAATGCTTGATCACTTTTTGACTCTTCGTTCGTCCCCAATTGTTTAGTTACTGTGATGGTACTCATCTCCCAGGTTCCTCTTTCCTTTCCCATCTTTTTACCCATTTTGCTCCAGATTTCCTCAAATTTTACTACACATTCATATTCATACTAGTCATATGTGGCGCCTTATTTTATAGGTCGTTTCTGAACAAAATGAACAGTCAGGGTCAGACTGAAACAGTCGATTGAGACTGAACACCCTTGTTAGATTTTTGGTTTTTAGTGCAATTATTGTGATTTTCAACAGCACAGATCCACTGGCAGATTCAGCAAAATCTGATTAACTTATTTTTAGAGAATTATTTGTTTTTGTTGGGCCCCTGCTGAATGCAGTCACAGATTGTCTCACTGAGGAAGTGGATGGTGAGGGATGAGTAACATGGCATCTTTTTCTTTTCATGCAATAACGTTTCTTTTGCATGGCATTGTCTTTACCTACATTACTTGATAATACGCGAGCATTGAGATGTTCTGTGCTGTGCTGTGGGGTTTTTTTATTTTTATTTTTTTGTCCTTTGCATATTTTCTTTGACCCCTGGTGGGTTTCATCATCTGACCATGATGCTATAACACTATTGGCTTACAGTGGTGCTGCTCTTCTTCTTTAACACTGCTTGCCCCTCCTACTGGACCTCTACTACCACTCTGTCTCTTGGGCTTCGCCCGTTGTAGCCATCAGGCAACGTATGGGTGACCCATGAGGAGATGGAGACCCTGGCAGCACCTTCCAAAACGGTCAGTCCCTGTGTCCCTGTCAGCCATTTCTTCCTGCATCAGTTAACATCGATAGTGATCGACAGTTGAAATCTCTGCTAAAACCTTTGTGTTAATAATTTCCTTTAACATTTGAACAGTATTTTTTCCATAAATATGCTGAGTTCATTTTCAAGAAAGGCGATGTATACTAGGTAAGATAGCAGGCAGTTTCCATTATGTAAAAAAAAAAAAAACACGACTGCTAACCTAGTTTATTCAAATTGTGTTTCCAACCCTAAATGAGCTTGATCTATCATTTTTTATCCAGTTTTTAATGAACATTAAGAAAATGTTGAATGCAAATGGGGTGTCTGTCATAAAACTATGTACAGTAGATGAACGGTATGCAGATGAATCATCCTTCATATGTCACTTCTTAGGGAAGGAACTTTGCTTATTGTCTGAGCATAAAGCAATGTTTTCAAAGCAACTACAATATTTTTTTTTATTCTGTCCAGAAAATTGCCTAATTTTGTTTTTTCCTTCTTTTGTACTGTTGTGTCAGAAATCAGATTCTGAAGAGGGGAGCTGGGCGCAGGTAAGGCCAAAAGCTTTTCATCCCGTATCTAAAAGTCATTCAGCACAACTACAGAAAGCGACGTCTTTTATTGACCTTTTTCTCGTTCCGTCTCAGACTCTGGCTTATGGGGACATGAACCATGAGTGGATAGGAAACGAGTGGCTGCCCAGTCTCGGACTACCTCAGTACCGCAGCTACTTCATGGAGTGCCTGGTGGACGCCCGCATGTTGGACCACCTCACCAAGAAGGACCTGAGGGTGCACCTCAAAATGGTGGACAGCTTCCACAGGTACCTCACTCAATAAGAAAGTAGAATTTCCTTAATGAATCTTACTTTGCTTATGTTATCAGTTGTTTGGTTTCTTACAAAAGTTTCCAGCCCCTTTTGTCACATCTTGCACTGACAGCCACTTTTTTTATCTTAGTTTTTTTGTGAAAAAGGTTACAAACGTTTTTAGCACAAAGTGCAGTAAGTTTCACTGTGTGTGCCTTTTCTGACATTAGAACAAGTTTACAGTACGGAATCATGTGTCTGAAGAAGCTCAACTATGACAGAAAGGAGCTGGAGAGACGCAGGGAACAAAGTCAGCATGAAATAAGAGGCAAGAATAATCTTCAAACCGTTTCTGTCATGATGTTGAATATTGTTTTTTCACTAAAATTAATGTTTGCTTCTGCAGACGTGCTGGTGTGGAGTAACGAGCGGGTCATCCGCTGGGTGCAGAGTATAGGCCTGCGGGACTACGCCAACATCCTGCTGGAGAGCGGCGTGCATGGAGCTCTGGTTGCTCTTGATGACAACTTTGACTACAGCAGCCTGGCTCTGCTTCTCCAGATCCCCAACCAAAACACTCAGGTACTGCAGATGCTTTTATCCACTGAGTGAACGTTAATTATGTCGACCAAGAAATATGGAAAAGCATTGATTTTAAAAATGTGAACCGTTATCTTTGTCGGCACATTGAAACTTAAAGCACACAAGTGCTGGCATTGGCCTTCAGAAGCTGGCGAATCAAAATCAGAACAAGCCGATCTGCCAACTGTCATTCTGGCGCAATGCCCTGTCAATTTTCACTCCTCTCATTTAAATGGGTAATTTTTACATCGTAATGTGTCGGCTGCCTCTGTTGCCACGCTGCTGAAAATAGCTGGACTTGGGAAAACTAGCACATGATGTAATTTGTTTTTTTTGTTTTTTTAACTCATCTTCCTTCAGGCACGTCAGATTTTGGAGCGAGAGTACAATAATCTGCTGGCTCTGGGCACTGACAGGAGACTGGATGAGGTGAGCCGGAAGAAACATAAAGCCCTGCAAAACGAGTCGCCTTACAACCACAAGCAAATGTATTTTGTGTGGCAAACCAGCACAAAGTCCATTCTAATTTATGTTTTAGTACAATGAATAGAAGACAATAAAGTTACACTACTGCTTGTATGCTAATGAGCTTTTTAGGGCTGTAATATGTTCTGCTGTGTTTTCTAGCTAGTGAGACTTGTTAAAAACAGTTTGAATAATAAGATTCATCTGTACGGTCTAATAAGTTGCAAAACATAAGGAAACCAGCATATTTACTGAGGTCAGTTTGACATTTAGAGTAACATCATCACCCTCCAGTGTTTCACAAAAGGAATCACTGAACTTGATCCAAACTAGTCCATACTAGGGAAGTGAAAGCAAAAACTAGAAGGGATGAATTTCTACAGTTTATTGGGAGTATTTGGAGTCTTGTATATTCTAAGAACATGTTTTTATTTTCTCTGTTGATCAGTGCGACGACAAAGACTTCCGGGGTCCCTCCTGGCGGAGACAGTTTCCTCCGCGGGACGTCCACGGTATCAGTATGATGCCTGGGTCAGCAGAAACTCTTCCAGCTGGGTTCCGTCTCACTGCGACGTCCGGTCATTCCAGAAGACTGCCCCCTGATGGTAGGAGTCAGATTTTCTTCTGTCGGCTTGACTTAGTCCATAAAATGCCTTAATCTGGATATTTGAGTGAAGCAGGCGAGTTTAAAAAAGCAGCTTTATCACAGCAACCCACCTGAGGAGGAGTTTGAGCTGCTGCTTTGTCAGGAGCATTCTGACTGTCTCTTGTTCTCTTCGATGGCTGCTCTGCAGTACTCTTTGAGGTGCTGGATGACAGTCCTGACGACATGTATTTGGACTTGTTTCAAGGTCAGCTATGTCCCCGAAACGTTCTGGGCTTGTCAGCCCCGCGTCCGTACTAATTCTACATGATCCTTCTCATATTCACCCAACTTCTGCCAACCACTGTCCTGCTGTTTCTCTCCTTAAAATAGTGATTTTCTTCTACTTAACCTTTAAGTACAACCCTTAGGATTCAGGCTTTATAGAGTTTTACTGAGGTTTGAAACTTTCACTGGAAGAACAAAAGGAAAACGCAAGTTATACGTTTCTAATATAACTGTCACTCTTCAATTCTTCATGGTAAGACGACATTGGCTGAAATGGGTCTTCATTAAAGGACAGTTCTGGTCTGCTGCAGCTTGAGGAATCTACAGAAATGTTTCAAATGTCTCTTTTCCAATCTGGACATATTTAAATCAGAGAAAGAAAATATTTTGTTTTGGTCAACTCTGATTTCCACTAGAAATTTCACTTTGTGTGAAATGAACTTTACAAAACTGAAACAAGTTCCAAATAAAGAAATTGTGAGTGTTTGAACACGAATTTATGAGCTTAACCATCTAATATGATTTGACATTCACTTGTTTAATCAAATGTGATATTTAACATTGATATTTAACAGTGATCAAAGATTGAAGGTTAATGTTTTGAAATCAGCTCCAGCTGGTTCTGAATTTAAAGTTATTCCAGACATTCACATCCCACTAAAACATTTCTTGCTGGTGCCCAGTTTGAATTTCTTCATGAATTGCTTAAAAACCTTTAGTAGTTTGTGTATAGCAGCAGGTCCAGTTCTGTCCTTTAAGTGGGTACAGATTGCGTTAGAAGCAGTCCCTTTATGGCCTTCTGTTCCACTTGACTAGGAATAGATTAATTTCTGGCCAGTGTCCTCTAACTATTTTTTCCCTATGACACTGAAACGGCTTTCCTGTGTTCCTTCATCTCTAATCTCTGTGCTTGCTGGTCTGTGACGCTCACAAATTACTAAAAACGACTCATTTGTGGTTTCCACTCAAAACAAAACCTTCCCTGGTGTGATTCATGCCTTTCAGGTTGACTGGAAATAAAAATGTTACTCTTCTATCTAGAGTTTGAGATCTGAAGTTGCACGTTTGTTTGTGTCCACCTGCAGTCGGACCATCTGCGGTGCAGCGGCTGGACAGCTCAACGGTGAGAACCTACTCCTGCTGAGAGGAGGAAGCGGGGGACCTTAAACTGTACGCTGTATGTAACACAACACAGTGTCTCGCTAAGTTAAATGCACAGGTTTTACTGGTAGAAAAAAATGTTTCCATGAGGATATTTCATTAGCTTGGCGAATAGAGGACATGTTTTTGCCAGGTAACAGCAGGTAGAGAAACAAACCTGTAGCACGTCCTTTAATGTCTGTCCAGAAAGGATTATTTATAAACCCATCTTTGCAAACACATTCCTGATAGATCAACTTTAAAAGATAATAGTTTTAATAATTCTGATGCGTATTTCTAGGATTCTGTCACGTGAGATTTTAGGACCATCCGGATCCTCAACTGTAGCTGTGAAAGTTAATGCATTATTGTGCCAGTGTGGAAGGAATACAGAGTTCAGCGAGTGCATTGGGTTTAAATCCAGTTCCTTATGTTGAACTGCTGCCAGTATTCTAATTAAGGTGATGCAAGCACTTGCAATTACACACAGAAGATAGTTCAAGGTTGATATTAAGGCAAAAACTAAATGTAGTCTCAGAGAAAAATATTTGTAATAAAAATTGCATACTGATGCATTTTATTTTTCAGAAGGTTGTTTATTTTTACAAGAAAGAGAAAACTGTTTAAAGACGTATAATTCTGCATTGCATCATAAGCTTTTCTGCCTTAAATTAATCAAGTGCCAAGAAAATCTCACTCCCTGCCTATAAGCCGACCCACTTGCCAAATTAAACCAGCTTTGTAGACCAATCAAGTGACAATGGCACCGTTATCTAAAACGAAGCACTACTCAGCTGAGAAAGTCCCATGAGAATCAGTAGCAGCTCAACTTAAAACCTCTCAGTTTAAGTGCTAGGCTAATGTTAGCATGTTGACTTTCTGCTCTGGGGACAGACATGGAGCTGCCGCTTGGCTTGAATGTCATAAAAGTTGTATCAGACATTCAAGGAGTTATGAAGGAAAAAAAAGATTGACCATGCAAACATCTTACAAAAATCACTGATCGTACACCAACAAATACAGAATGAAAATAACTGCTGCTTGCAACCCAGTAGTGATTCTTGGTCTGCAAATGAGCCTGTTTTAGCAACGCATGCTCCTAACTTCTTCTGTGTAAACAGCTGAAGGGATTTCAAGAAATTCAGAGCAGCTCATGTTGCGTCGCCGGACATTTGAATTGAAACGAAGCACAGTTGGGGTTTATGTGGGTCCTGAAGGTATTTCTTTTCTTGCTGTTTGACATGTTCAGATATGATCTGACACCACTAACCTTTCCTTTCCAGCTACAGTTCTGAACCAACAGGCCGATCTGCCGAGAAACAATCCGATGACACGCACTGCCAAGAAGCCCTGCTCTCCTCTCTGACCCCGTCCTCCATGACTTGTAATGCGGGCGCCCGACGCCGGTGCTAAACTCTCCTGCAGGATGCCTCGTTGTCACCATTTCTACCTTTTACATGTAAAGTAACTTGTCAGAGCATAATGTACTGTGTATTTCTTCTACAAGGAGATGTGTAGGTTATCTGTAAATTCTTATAAATATGCCATTTTTATTATATATACACAAAACATCTATGTATAAAAAGATATTAAGGGTTTGTGCAAAAAAAAAAATGTCCCTACCACCTCATTTAGTGGACCATAGATGAATATATGCTGCTCTTTAAACTCTCCATTAGACCCTTGTTCCTCTAGATCATTTTGAACATATGATTTTATTTTTTCATTGTGCTAATGAAAAGTTACGATGAGCCTGTGCTGGACCTTAGAAGGGAAGAAACTCGATGTTGTGCCAAGCTGCCCTCTAGTGGTGGGCCACTCCAACAACACGTGATGGAGCTTTTCAGGAGGATTTGTCGGCACACTGGAACAACAGAAGCACCTTCATACATCCGCATCAACTCAGACTATTTAGAAGCCAAGGACAAAACAAGACGCTCTCTGAAGGTGCACAACTTCCACTCGGAGAGCATAAAAGCATCCCAGACGTCACTTGTTACTGTACGTTTCATCAGGCAGCACATCAACACACTTACAGCCGAGCTGGCCTTTCTATCCCCCCCTCCTGTTAAACAGATGAATTAACTGAAAGACAGACTGCTTTAGCTCATAATGTGTGTAGAGTGTTTATGACCATGTTGAAGTGAGGTGACTTAACGATTAAAAGAAAAAAACCTGTTGCTTGCTGTGACTGCCATTTGGGTGTAAATGTTCTTCGTTTCAGTCAGTTGTCAGGCCTGTTTGTCTTTGCGTTGTTTCGGACGGACAGCAAACGTCTTATATGTTTTCACATTTGCACGAATGAGGATTCATTTTGTTTCCGATTCTTTTCTCTTTTTTATTTATTACTTCTTGTACTTTGGTCAAAACTAAGTGGTGAGCAAACAAGTTTTCATTGTCAATAAAAAAAAACGGTTAGTGATCTGTTTGCATTGGTTTTCATTAAAAATATTTATACATCTACAAAGTTTAGTGCAGGACGGTTTTACCTCATCAGTAATTTACATAGAAAAATGAAGCTTTATTGGTTCAAAACGTCACTGACTTAATAGACTACTTAAAGAATTAAAATTGCTTGAACTACACCATCCAAATGGAGTAACGTGGTTCTCAAGCCTCCAGTGTTCAATCTGCATGTCGTCTCCAGACTTTTTCTACTTGCCTCTCGATGTCTTTAAACACATCTGGGTCCTCAATGGTTGGCGTAATCTGAAGAGAAAAATATAAAAAGTTTAAATCTAAAACAGCATTCAGTAAAACTGCCATTTATGAATATATATACAGGAGATTCTGTATGAGGAAAAACACTCTTCCTAACATTTTGATAAATTGACGATTATTGTAAAACGCTGAGGTCATCACATCCCACCTTGTAGGGTTTGCCGTTGACCAGGTTGGCCAGAGACGAGCGGGGGATTTTTCCTGATCGCGTCTTCGGTAACCCGGGGACGAAGAGCATGTTCCTGAAGGCGGCTACAGGTCCGATGGTGTCTCTCACCAGCTTCACCAGCTCCTTTGTGATCTCTTGCTCAGTTTTCTGCACATCTGACACAAAAAAACGATGCAAAAACCCAAATTATTTTATAAAATGAATCAGGCATTTGTATTTAGTCTCCCTGAACCAAAAAGATGCGTTGAAGTTTATGTTTGTAATATGATAATGAGGCACTTTATTGCTCTTACCTTTTTTAAGTACACACAGCGCCAAAGGGACATGGCCCTTCAGAGAGTCCTCCAGACCCACCACAGCGCAGTCCCCCACTGCAGAGTGCAGCAGCACCGACTGGAACACACAAACATGCCCTTGTAACTGGGGGAAAATAAAAAAATTAAAACATATTCATCAGAATCTTCTGTGCAATGGTTCTCCCACTTCCTCTACTGCTCCAGCGGACAGCCTGTGACCCGCCACGTTGATGACATCATCAGACCGGGACATGATGTAAAGGAAGCCCTCCTCATCCAAAAATCCAGCGTCCATGGTGTCATAGTAACCCTAGAAAAGAGGAAACCTAACTGCATCAAATTTCACTGAAACGTCTTGCATACTCTAAATGCTGCAAATAGATTCTGCAATATCAAGTTGAAACACTAGAGGTCTACCTTTCTCTACTAAAAAAAAATATTTTTTCTCCTCTGAAAAGCAAAACCAACCACAGCATAAAAAACATCAAGATGCAAAGATAAGTTTTAAATACTTTGTTTTAGAAGCGACAGGCTACTTACTGGAAACTTGGAGAAGTAGAGCTCCTTGAAGAGACGGTGGTTTTGCCACAGGCACAGCGCAGCTCCAGGAGGTAGAGGAAGTCTGAGGGGAAGACAGCAGAATAACATTATCTATTAAAAATGTCCCTTCTTAGAAGAAGCTTGAGATCAAATCAAACACCAAGACTTGTGACATTTTTAATTCGGTGCAGCCAAGCTCTGCTAGACCTTCCCGGATCCAGTAACAGACACCCAAACAAACAAAAAGTGCAGAAAGGAAAGGTCAGGAAGTCATTGTTTACCAAGAGACGACCAGTAATCCCTCCTCTTAGCCAGGTCCCTCCATGTCCTGAACTCTAAATCCAACTGAGCAGAATCATATTCTCGTTCTTATTTTAAATCAAAGCTCTTTGGAAGCCCAGTTGTACATGAACAAAGTGAAAACTAATACATTTTGGAACAGGAGGCATTTAGAATATACTTCTTGTATCTTTCTAATAAAAGACAAAGAGCTGTAACACACTCAAATGTGTGTGTGTGTGTGGGTGTGTGTGTGTGTGTGTGTGTGTGTGTGTGTGTGTGTGTGTATGTGTGTGTGTGTGTGTGTGTGTGTGTGTGTACACACTCAGGCAGTTTTTGCAAAGCTGCAGATCCAGTTTGAGAATGAAACAGAAGAAACGTCCAGATTTTCTCCAAAGACCAGCAGGAACAATAACACAGCTGTTCCCGTCTGTCTTAAGAGCTCACACTCTGTCACTCCATGCACCGCATACTGGAAATCCCCCCTCAGCAGCACTCGGTCATTACCAGCGTTTTTAAAAACTGCAGCGGAGTGGAGTGGAGGGTGATAACTGATAGAGAGCAGGCTGGCACCGGGAGCGGCACAAAAAAAAGCTCGGCTACGTTCAGTGAAGTCCACTTAGCGATCGTTTCATAAAAACATGTCCATTAGCAGCACTTTGCTCCCAGAAAGACCAGAATTTAAAGTCTGGCAAATGCTGCCCATAAGTGCATAAGGGTAAAATACCCCTGTGTGAACATGTTGGATACTGAATGTGTGTAAGATTAAAAAACTAAACGCACAAATTAAGCAGCTCACAGGTCAGCGTGGCTTACCTGACCACAATATTTCCCAGAGTTTTTGGCTTCAACTCCTGCATGTCATCGTCAATCACAGTGACTAAAAAACAGGAAGCAGGAGGGACGTATGAACAAACTGAACATGTTGAAGATGAAAAAAATGATTATAAGTCATCATCAAGTTAGTGACTACAGGACTCCAACAAGTCTAAAGCCAAAACCTCACACTAAAGTCTCCAGAGCTCCCAATCCTTTTGAAACCTTTGCTTTTATTAATCTATAAGTCAGTGAGAGTGTAAATTAAAAATAACAACGATAATGGCATAAATTTAAACAATAATCAGGTTTAAAATCCGAAACACAGACTGTGTGGATGGATATGCAGAGAAAACATGAAAGGATGAAAGATGGAAAGATAAATAGAGGGACTGATTCATGGACAAAGACGGATGGAAGGATGGACGGATGGTTGGACGAGCAGAGAGACTAACAGATGGATGCTGTGCTACACCGACAGATGCAGAAAAGGACAGATGGAGGGATCAAAGGATGATTCATGGATGAATGGATGAACGGATGGCAGATGGAGAGAAAGAAAGACGATAGATGCACAGAAAAGGATGCAGAGAAGGAGAGAAAAACAGATTCAATGATTAATGGACAGACAAAGGGACAGATAATAAAATGAAGATTCACTTAAATAGATGGACAGAGAGGCGGCAGAATGCGAGGGATGAATTGACAATAAATCGTTGGAAGAACTTTGGAGTGTATAGACTGAGCAGGGATCAATCTTTAAGAAGTTCATTCTCAGTCATTCTCTCACCATTGTAACCTGGAACTGGCTTTCCAGCCTGGCCTGCAGGTGGCGTGAGCGAGTTACCCAGGCCGATGCAGGAGGACGTGATGGCTGAGCCAGTTTCTGAACAGAAAACAAAAATTAAGAATCAGAACTCAAACGTAAACTGGAGATCAAACACCTTCAATTTGAATTTCAAAAACAGTTTATTAGTCTTAATGTCAAGCTGATAGAAGGAAAAAGTGTTGTGTTGCTTCGGGGTGCAGCGTTAACCCACATAGCAGAACTATGACAGCTCCTGTGGGCTCTCGCCACAGAACTGTGCTCCAGTTACAGCAGAGAGCCGGCTGCCGGGCCCGCGCGCCCACCCAGCAGAGGAATAACAGAATCAATCCAGCTCAGCATGGGAGATTACATCAGACAGCAGCTGAGTGCGCCAGCATCAGCATCTGTCTTTGGTGTTAAATGCAAACCCTCAGATCTGTGAAGAGACATTCCTTCCTTCCTTTCAATGTCTCTGCATAAAGTTTACAGCATAAACATTCGTAAACGGCTGTTTAAATACATCCGTCTGCTACAGAAAGCATATGTGGTGTAAATTCAGTGCTACAATTTACTATTGATTTCAGAGAGCTTATGCAACAGCAAATAATCCTTCTGCATCATGTATTCCACCAGAATAAATATAAAGTCGTCATGCTGGATTGTTCTTTAGAAGGGCAAAAGCTAATGGGAAAACATTTTAAGCCGCAAGATCACCATGCAAAGGTCATTTCAGTCAATAATGCATAAAATATGAGCCACAAACCTACAATTAAATCCTGAAGCTTCGGTAATAAACGGATTATGCCAGGGTTTAGCATGTTGTGAAAATGTATTTGCCCTTTAATATTGCACTTACACCAACTATTGTTGTCTGTTATCTAATATTATGTTTAATAAACATTAAAGTTAGTTACAGTAACGTCTGGGAACAGGAGAACAAATCATTTGAAACCGTTTCTCAAAGACTTCACAGGCAGTTTGAATTCAGATTTGAAATCTAACTAAAGAAGCCCCAACAGCAAACCTTTTGCTTTTCTACCAAAGTGGAAAAAGGTGATAATCCTACTTCAGTCACAAATCAAAAGAAAGCAAAACGTTCAGAGGCTCCACAGAGATGCTCAGTGGCAGCAGGTTGTTTCCACATGAAGACGGAGGAATCTATGAATCTATCGTCTTTTAATTGATTCGTTTGTAACGTTCGTTTGAAATACTTCAACCAGACAGCAGTTCTTTTCTCATCCCTCATGGAGACGTTTTGTTAAATCAGAGGTGCATCAGTCCATTGGCTGATTAATGTAGGCATCTAATATTTGTAGGCATCTCTTGAATTGCGTGTTGACTGGAGTTTGACCCAGCCACTGAAAGGAGGCGACGTGAGCAGAAGGTGTTAAACTGTCTGAAACAGACGAGATTCGAGATAAGCTAATAAACTTCAAACCTAAAAGAAATATGGGCTTTACATTATAAGATGAAAGCAGCCAGAATAAACTGACTGTGCAGCTTCTTGGGATAAAATCACACAAAAAGTAAAGACTTTTAAAAAATGCATTTGTATTATAAATGCATTGACACCAAAAAAACTAGTACTTTAAGACTGTTGATAGAGTAAAGGGACATATGATTTAATAATCATTATGCAAACGTTAATTGGCTTGGTAATGTGCATTTGAGCCGAGTCATTTTCTCACATATTCTGTCTCGAGTCAAAATTTAGTCTTCCAATCTTCCTCCAGCTTCACAGCCTTTCCTCTTGTCCCCAAACAAATCAATCTTCCTTTTTCCTTGTTGAAGATTGCTTTGGCCAGTGTGAAGCCTTTTGTGTGTGATGAATGAGCGGAGAGGAGTAGAGAATGGTGGATGACACGGGGAATAACAGAAAAAGGCAACACAGTGGCATGTTTTGACGCAAAGGAGTCGCTTTGAACAGTCGCGCTCAGTGTGAGGAGCTTTTGAAGGGAACAGCTGCAGAAAAAGTTCTCCAGAGGGAGGAACTTTTTTTTTTTATCTGATGTCCCTCTTTTTCCTTACATCCAAACTTTTCACTCAGAGTATACAAAAAGCTCAACCAAACCAACTCTATTTATACAGCTTACATGAAAGCCAGCAGGGATTAATGTCACAGTCTAGTATGGTTCCAGAGTATAAATGCTGAAAAAGCTATAAAAAAGTAATGCATTGATGGTAATGTTTCTAAACTGATTGCATCAGTCTTGCAGCAGTCAGCTGTCCTGAGCTTCAGACTCGACACTTCTGCTCCCACAGCAACGTTAGACCAAGATTCTTAAAGATTATAATGATTTACATCAAATGAAAACAAAATGCAAAACAGCGGAAATAAAATGTTGGATTACTAAAGTATGATTAAGCGTTTAAAATTACTGGGATGTAAAGGGAAGACTTGTGTAGAGGAAATGCATAAATCAAAAATAAAAAAAAGTAATGTTTCTAATTTGCAACAAGGTAGTGGACACAGCATAGATGTGGCAAAGAAGAATCATCCAATCAGATGATACTCAAGACTGAAATGTTTGGCTTTTGTGGAAAACTGACACACAGTGGCGGCAGCATCATGCTGCGGGGACAAACAGGCACAAACCAGGTCAATGATGGTGAAAAAATGGAGCAACTTAATAAACCAGCGATCCAAGAAGAAACCCTTCTTTAAAAATGTAATTAATGATGTGATGTTTCCTAAAGTCTGAACTCTGTCCAGGCATTCATTTGAATCTATTCTTGGAATGTCTGCAGGGAAACCAAATGTCATCAGCAGGAGAACCAAACAAAAACGCCACCAGCAAAGGCTGAGAGGTTCTCTCTGCAGAGCATACATATGCAGGGCTTCAGGCTGTCTGTGTGATGGGTGGTTGCTGGGGTAACTTAGTGAGGAGCGTAGAGAGAGAACTGACCTAAGGTCAGCGTAAAAAGACAGATGTGGTGTGAGCGACGTCACCCATAAGAGACAACACACATTATTATGCTCTTAATTTACTAGATCAACCACATGATGAGATCTACCAGATCTCTGATGTACTGGAAAAAGAAAAAAAAAACTTAATTTGATTAAAAAGTCAAACAGGTTCAGTTTGATCAATATTTTTTTGCATATTTCTACCGTCATTCGTTTTGATCATGTGAACACTCAGTTCTTCTAAAATCAGTTTTTCCCTTTGATAGAGGCTGAAATCCTGCCCTTGGTGGACCTTCTGAGATGGGCCAATAGGAACACGCCTGTGCCAGCTCAGTTACTGGCACGGCTAAAGAGGGAAATGCTAATTAAGATGACCTCTGAGAAGGTCAAGCTGACGTAAGACAAAACAATGAGAAACACAGAAGCAGAGGAAAAGTCAAAAGAACACACACCTAAAACATCACAAGTGCATCCGTTGCTCCCTTTCATGCAAGCAGCCTAAACCTGCCGACTGGAAATACACATTTGTTGCCAGGCAACAGCCGTGACATCAGCAACCTTCTCCACCCCCTTCCAATGCCACTTGGGTCTTAAAATAGCTCACAGATTATCATCAACATTCAAAACGTCAGACACATTCTCATATGCACGGAGCAGGTAGGTGAGCTAAGCTGCTCCTGGGATCAGGTGGGGCAGAAATAAACAGGTGAGGAAGTCAACTCTGAACATCTTCGACGATGTGAGAGGGGAAGAACAAGAACACAACTGGACTCGTATAAAATGAGGCGATGGGAGACAACGGGGAAAAGACGGGATCCATCCCAGCTGATGAATCAGGATGAAACACGACTGAGTTCCCTGAACATAGAGAGAAACTCGCCAATCTGTTCTGCTTTGCATAAGAAAAAATCTTTACTGCTCTCGCCAGATACACCAGACCGAATGGTGAATTTGGATAAATCAGTCATCTCTGCACAGTGGGATTGTACTGTTAAAATATTTCCAACGAGACGTTAATTTAGCGTGACATGAATGATCACAAAGGAAATTTAATCCTGGAGGTGAAAGAAGACGGAAAACCCTCCTCTAGAGGAAACGCTGTGTGATCATACATCTGTTTGGGGCAACATTGGAACAAACTGCATGTTTTGTGTCAGCTGACCTTGCATTCTTCAAACCAAGGTCCCTCCTCAGCGGAAAGTAGCAGCAAAACGCTTCAAAAAATAACTGTAGATCTAGAATCCTGTCCACTTAAAGTTCTTGGTTACATATGAAATAAACAGAAGCGAATAAATGTTCTATGTCCATTGCACCATGAAGCATCCTCCCCTAATATGCAATAAATAAACCAATAATAGAGTGAAATGTTTTGTTCACTCAAGCTGCATCTTATCTAAAGAACATCTCAACTAAAAAGGCTTCAACCAGTGAAACCAGTAAACCTCCACCTGCAATAAACATAAAACAATATTCAACTAGTGTCAAACTGATAACAGTACTATAATAAAGTTTGAAAAAGGTCAGAGCTCAATTACATTTGCAAGGCAATTCTGAATAAGGGAGATTAGGGTAGCATCTCTAAAATTCAGCACAGGAAGCATACAATCTTTTAAAGGTTACTCAAATAACATGGAATATTTGAAAACTGTTTCACAGATAATAGCTGCTTTATTGCCCCTCATATCTGAAGTCACACAGTGTCTGACACAGAAAGCGAGATGGCAAGCAGCCCGCTTTGGATTCCAGCTCTGGCTGCCAGCTGCAGAGTTTAGCAGAGGTCGAGCAATCATATAGGATTCTCACATAGAGGCAGAAATCAAGATGGTTTTTCTCCAAACTCCATAAATCACCTGATATGAATGACCACAAAATGTGACAGGGTTTTGTTTTAAGGGTGACCGTGAAACCATAGAACAGAAGGGCCTTGTTATAAACACATCCACATTTCATTCTGTGAAATGCTATCTTAAAGGTTGCCTACGAGGAGAGAAATGACAACTTTTACCCATTTACAGGCTGGGTCAGGTTTTAATTCAGCCAAACGAAGCTGCAGTCAGATTCAATATAAAATTTAAGGAACAGGAAAAGTCTACAGAGTTTATAAATGGAGCAGACAGATAAAGCACAAAGCAATAAAAAACAAAAAAAAGCCATAAATCTGTATCTGCTGTGTGCTCCATTACCTGCAACAATACAACGAACTCCTGTATGAATAGTAAATGCTTATTTTAACTTACAGCAGAGCTTCTGCAAGGTGATTTGCCAACATGTGACTAATGACTAATGTCAATACTTTGGTTCTGAGCAGTTTAACAGAAGGAAGTGATAAACCCTGACTCTCAAACGTTGCCATCAAATATTTAGCTTCTGAGGCGAACATAAAGAAACGAGGAGGCTCTCGCTCTACGCTTGCTGCTATAATACTCTGGCTGTACCTTTAACAACAGATCAATTTGATGAATCACATTTCTGTATTATTCCAAGACTGAACTCCACACAATCCAATCGATCCTGCACAGACTAATTGGTCAAGTGGGCTAATCTGCACCCTAATCTGAAGAGCATAGCACGCACAAACGCTCAAGGTTGATGGCTTTCGAGCAATCCAACAGCAGCATTGATTCCATATTTAACACCGATATGTCATCTCGTCCAGCATCGATCCTCCATTTGGAAATTTCAAAACAAAGAGGCATCCAATTGTGCTCATATGCAGTCCCTAACACATTTATCACAGCTCTGTGGCATTCGGGATAAAAGCAATCACACAGTGGGAGGTGAAGGGGTATGACATTAGTATGCTCCCTGCATTCAACAATCCATTCCATGACAAACTACTTTTCAAATTCAAGAATCAATAGTAAAGATGGCCTTAAAAAACCCCTAAAGCTGCAGGACTGTCTGGCCATCATGCAGAACCGCACGCTTCTGCAAACTTTTACAATTTGCTGCAGCTGATCAGAGATGTGGGCCGTAAGAGAGGTATGGCTTTTATTAAAACTGCAATGATAAAAATCCAGCACTAAAATATTGGCAATGCAAAACTTAATTTTTGAGCAGAAATCCAGATAAGTGCCAATTGCCACCAAACTTCACACATTAAAGCCTCAATTTAAATTCTAGTCAAGGAAACGTCTTTTCCTTCCTTCTTTCCTTCCTTTCATAATTGATAACCGACCATCTTCAGTCATAAGTAATGCAGAAGGCAAAACTCCAAAAAGACATTCTTGAATATTTTTTTTATTTAGAAAGACAGATTTCCATCACATTCGTTAAGTACAGCCTTACAGCTGTTAATTACCCTGTAATTAACATGTTAATTACCCTGGTGTAAGTGATTTTGTCCATTCTGCCTTTCTGCTATTTTCTTTTACACACTATTACTAATTTTAGTTGTGAACGATAACAAAAAAAGAGCGGAAATGAACAAAGCAATAAAAAAAACAAGAACATAAAAGGGCAGGACACAAAATTCACAAGAACAATCAAATGAAGTCAGATCTAATTGGTTTTACATACTCAGTCCAGATCTTATAAAATTTTCCTTTTTCAACTTGGAGGGAAAAAGAAATCTTCTCCATAGCATAAATCCAGTAAACAATTTCAATCCATTCATCGATAGTGGGTGACGTTCTTGAATTTTTATCTGAGGAAAACGAATGTTTTCTCACCCGTCTGCCACCAGTGATCCAGAACCGGAACGCCAAAGTTCTTCTTTGCCCACTCCAGAGTCTCAACATCACACCGCTCTCCTGCCAAGAATAACGTCTGCAACCTATGAAGAATCAGGGTAAATTGTTTTCCTTCAAAAGGCTATTAATCAATTAACTGTCATAAAGATGTAAAACATGCCAGAAATGGTTTTAGTGTCTGCAGTTGTTGTTTTTATGCCCAAATATTTGATGACTGACTGATGTGGAAATGTGTTCCTAAAGAAAGGACCTTTAATTTTAACAGGCACGGTGTCTGTTTGGTGCAATATTCATGGAGCTTCACCACTTTCTGCTTACATTTCTGTTGAGGAAGCAAATCAATACCGGTCTAAAATAAATTTCAAATCTCAAAGTAAATATACAAAGTGTTGCAGCACATTCCAACAAATCTCTTAGAGGAATTAGTCTTGAAATAAGAGGCGGGTCTCTTTGGAGCACTACCCCCCCGGTAGCATTTTATCGATGGCATCAACAACCTTTAACAGCAAACTTCAGCTTTTAACAGCGTGAAACCACAAACCAAGATACACAGTAGGCATTACCTACGTTGAATTTGGTCACAACCCAAATTCAATGTTAAATCACATCGTCTTTGTATTTACCAAAAAGCATCTGTTTGGTTTGCTTTCTTGTTTACAAAAGTGTCTCTTCATAGTACTTAATTTTTCCTGGAAAATTCAGCTAAAAGCTTGTCAGCTCATGCTATATTTTTGGACAACCTAATTACCGGCACGTCTGACATGTTAACAAGGGATGCAGCTCAATCACACTAAAAAGGCTCAGTGCAGGCTCAGGAGGAGCCCTGGCTCCATATTAATAAGCTGAAGAAAGAACAAGTGAGCTGCATCAAATCAGGGTTTGAACTCTAGCATGAAATTATGTTTGGCAATAAAGCTTTAGGGCTTTTCTCAAAGGTTGTACAACTCTCTACACATTTTATATCAGAAGCAGAACTACCAACACTCCTTTCATGGTTCTCTTATTGTAGCAAATTTGGTAGTTACTGTAGAAACAAAACATTTGTTTTGTCATTTTAGCAAAGTTGTTCAATTCTAGTAAAACACTGATTATTAAAGTGGAAATTTAGTAAATCACATAGGAGTACGATTTATGATTCTATCACACAGATGTTTTCTTTTGAGAAAAACAGTCAACTTGCACAAACAACTTAGTACATTAAAAAACTATTCAACCTAAATGACTGTTAGCATGAAGTCAAAACTGAATGACGGCACAAAATAATCTGTCTGCAGTTCAAAAAGGTGCAGTTCATTCAGCGCCTCCAACAGAGGATCCAACACACACTGCTGCATTTAGTGAATGAGACACTGAGGCCAAAGGTCACCAAGACCCAGAATTGCTTTACGATTGTGTGCCGAGAGGCATTTCAGACTGCTGAGCAAGAATGAAGTGATAAACTGACAAATCAACCCTCAGGTCCAAGTTTTTCTGCTTCACAACAAACATTTGACAAATGCGATCATCTCAGCAAGTATCTGAATCACTGGGCCAAACTAATAAAAAGGAAAAAAATGTATTTAACTTTCTGCTACAGATAGCGTCACAAGAAGAGCAGAATAAGCTGAGGCTGTGAAGCTGCCGCCACATTGTTTCCCATCTTACCATGCATGCTTAGACACATAAAAACACACTTATGTGGGAGAGTAGAAAATCTGACAGCATATTGTGAAAATCCTGAATCATCAATTGTTTGCAAATGGGTTGTAAAATCTACACTGTACTGCATCAGGACTTTTTTAATGCACTGCTGGCTCTTGTGAAGCACTTTGTGATTTTATATCCTGAAAGGTAGCATATAAATAAAGCTGTACTTAGTTTGCAGCCATGTGGTTAGCTGCAGTTTCAGTTCCACTGAATCGTTTCAACCCAGACTGAAACTTGTCAGAGAATGTGTTTATTTAAAAAAAAAAGCATTTAGGGAACAATCGCAGACCACACAACCCATCCTTCAGCATTTTGAAAAACTACAGATGCTGAAAAAATAAATGATGCTATTATCAACTACTAGAACTACCAGCAATAAATAATCTGTCAGTCATCCATTTAAGACCTTCTCATTTGCAGCCAGCTTCCAAATCAAGAAATAAAACTCGCTTTGATGTGGCTGATCATTACATGATGCAATGATATCTACCTGGTCAAAGGGTATTTCCTCCCTACTGCAGCGCTGGGGTCCTGCTGCCGAATGGCCCGGATTGCGGTGGGTGCGGTGAACATGGAGGACGCTCCATATTCTGACAGAACACGGAAGAATGCGCCAGGATCTGGAGTCCCAACTGGCTTTCCCTACAATCAGGAACATAAACTGCATCCGTCTACAACCCAAAATACCAACAAGTTCAAATATAGCACAGATATGGAAACAGTGTCAATAAATCTTGGGCTTGAATGCTTTGATATGGTTGCAATGATATGGTTCATACTTGAGCGGCACAGTCAAAGTCCAGACCTGTAAATGTAGCTATGTTAAGTAAACTGACATTTGTGATTTTGTGCAGCAGAGAATTCATGAAAACCTTTTAAACAAAGAAAGAAAAAGAAAAGAATCTGTCTTATTGAAGGGAGGCTGGTCAATTAGCTGCCAAATGAGGCTGCTTCCCTCAGGTCAGAGAAAAATCACTGAGGACATCTAATCAGAACTGAAAGAACCAGAAAAACCTCAATAGTCTGCACATCAAAACAGATATCATTGTATAAAGCTCAAAGAAGCTCATTCCAAATGAATACCAAGCAAATAAATTAATGTCAAGTAAAAGAACACATTGATCAAAAAATCCTTTGTAGCTTTTTAACAAGATGAAATTTCACCTCAAGGGTGGGAAAGCATGAATCACAGAAAGGTGTCACATTTGTTAGATTAAAGAGAGAAAAGCAGCAAATAAAGGAAGAGTGCCCTAAAAACAAACATGGCTGAGGCATTCTGTAAAACATCTTGAGTCCTGAATGCCTCAAACTTCCACATTTCATTATGCAGAAATCTGCAGCATTTTGGGGGATTTTCAACATGTTTGTTTTCTACAACAGGAAGCCTTTAGGGGTCTCTTTACATCAATGTCTTCGGACTGAAAAGTGAACACCATGTTTTTTGCAAAAACGACAAGAGCTTAGTCAAATTTCAATTGAAAACGGACAGAAGTAAAATCTCCAAGTCTAAAATGAGGAAATCACAAATGAAAAGCATGTCAACAGCATGCCGTCATTTCAACACATTTTGAGAACAAATTTCTCAAAATCATCCTTCCTTCTACTTTGTTATTGTACAATACATGGTCCTGATCAGCATTCCTCGCATATCTACATGCTGCTGCAACAAGTTTGCATGTTTTGCAGGCCGACCTAATTTTGCACCATTTCTGTACTGAAGCTTGTCTTGTTCTAAAAGGAACATACCTCATATAAAATAGTGCTGTTGCCATGGAGTAAAGGAGCATAGCAGATGTAGGAATGGCCGACCACCCAGCCCAAATCAGAGGCAGCCCACCAAACCTGTATCAAATGAATATATGTATGTAATATCATACATCACAGAACAAGAGCTACATTATCACTCTTTAAATTGCATTACAAAAGGGACGAAAAAAAATTCAATAAGGCCTTAGAAGCTCGAAGGCTCTGAAAATGTAAATCAAATATCAGACACCTGAATGATGAATGTAGCTGAAAATAGAAAGTTAAAAAGCTATTGTGTATCTCGCTATAATCAAATCATCCCTGAAGTGAAAATTCATCCATCTCTTTGCTGATTGCTTACTCTCCCCCCCCCCTTAAGAATAGCAATAACTCAGGAGAGAACACTTTATCAACTTACATCTCCGGGACTGAGTCCATAAATATTTGACATGGTCCATTTCAGCATAACGGCGTACCCTGCAGTGTCTCTCACAACGCCCTGGGGAATGAGATAAGAAAGACACTTAAACCGGGACAAGTATTTCACAAAGCAGGGTTCTAATATCGGTTAAAACACACATGCTCAGCCAGGCAGTGTGGACGGGGATTATATTTTGCTTTTGAGCGAATGCTTCTGAAACACAGCAGCGTCAGGCTCCATCTTAGTCAGCCGCACATCAGAGCATGTTGCAGCGAACAGGAAAAAAGTTGCCAATTTCGGCTCCATTAAGGAGAAGCCCATGAGACTCTTTTATTACCTTTTAGTGAAAAGTAAATTATGCTATTGCAGGGCGTCAATGATTTTTCATGTGAATCAACTCCTGCTGCTGTGGAAATGTTCTGTCGTATTTATGTCAGGGTGATGGATTTTATATCGGCTGCAGATTGTTTCACAGCATCGAAGATCTGATGAGTCACACACAGGCTCCATAAATAACAGCTACTTAGGACAAACTCAAACAGTAAATCTCCTAACTTCTCTGAACAGACAAGATTCATTGCTAATCAGTTTGTGAAAGAATCACTAATGGTTAAAATATTAATTTATGCCAATTATTGTAGAGTAACTCTTATTTTTGCTAACAGGCTCAGGAATATTATCATGAGATCACAGCAGGATAACTCAGGTTGTCATTCTGATCTTCTTGAATATTTTTGCACAGTTTTGCAGACAAACAGCATTTCAGACAAAGCGGAAAGCATCCTGGTTTGAAAAGCTTCTTTAAATCAATGAATTTGTTGCCTCCCACCTGAAAACTGAAACCATAAACACACAAAGAAAAAGCTGCATTTAACATCCAAGCACAGCAAAACATTACAGTGTACTTTTATGCAACTATCACATTTGCTAATATATAAAGGCTTAACATTGCATACCCATCACATAATATCTTGAAATCTTGGACATATAAATGGAAAGTTTACCAAACTACTGGGTAGATTTTTTGCAAATATAAATGCTTGTATGTCTGAAAACTCATGTTTTTCAAGGGCAAGTCATTGATTTTGTGCCGTCATCTGTATATGACAGGCATAGTATCGCTGCATCAAAGTTTGCTCTACTATCTGACGTGTTTCCTTTGAATTCTGCTCAACATTTTTCTGCTGGTGTTCAGAAACTTTACGTTTTTAAATCAAGATAAAGATTTTTTTTTTCCTCTCAGTCATTTGACAATCAAGATGCGACCCGACATGAAATCTATAATAAACCAATCACTGATAGCCAGCACCTTTGGTGTTCCTGTGGTCCCAGATGTATAGAGAACATACAAAGGATGGTTGGAGGGTAAAGGAACACAGTCATGAGGACGAGAAGCGGCCATTTCCTGGTCCCAGTCCAGACTCAGCTCCGGATCCAGTGAAACTTTGTCCTGAAACAAAGAAAAATGTTTAAAAGCATTTTTGCCAATAAAAATAGTTTGATCTGGGTGTGTATTGTTCTCCCTTTATGAACAAGATCAGTACACATGCTAACTTTGAGTTAGCATGTCAGCAACATATCTAAAATTGTGATATTTGCAAAAATTTATTGAAGATTTGTAAAGAAATAGCCCCATTGTTTGTATTTAAAAGTGATGAAAATTACCTAAATGAACTATTAAAGTATTCATACAAATCATTGTTTATGTTCAGCCTATTTAAACCAGCTGAACATTTAATTTTCTTCTCCAGTGCCTGTATACATGTTCCATTAAAGCCAGTCTGCTTCCAAACTGGATTCCTACCAACCTGCAAACAACATCTTGTATATTCTGCTAGAAGCCATACTGAGTATTTTCACATGTTTTTGATTTGATTATACACCATAATTTCCATTAAAAGTATTTAAAGAAATGTAAGTCAGCTTGCTTGAGACACAAATCTCTGAAATGCAAGCGTTTTGTGTTTTCTAGAAACACAGAAGGTTTGCATCCAACGCTGTGGCATCTTGCAGATTTCTGCTGTTAGTCAGGCTGCCTCACCATGGTGGGCCTGCTGTATATGAGGACTTTGGAGGGTTTGTGAAAGCTCATCTCCAGGGCCTTCTTCACCAGCGGGATGTACTCAACTCTTCTGCCTGGCTCGATGCCGAACGAGGCTGTCACCAACATCTTGGGCTACAAAAACACCAATCATGAGAAAATGTTGAAACTGAATAACTAATTGGAGTGTTCTCAGCAGGCAAAATAAAATGCAGTTCCCACTAGAGCTTCCTGGCAGTTGTGTAATCAAGTGCAAACCTCCTGCATACCTGGGGCCTTCCTACATGATCAAAGGCATTTCAGATTAAGAGGGTTGAAGCATATACATGTGAAAAACAGAGTAACAAAAAAAGCATTTGTTTTAAAGGTTTGGCTGTTTGTTGCTTTGTGTTACTCGCTTCAATTTTTAAAACTACCATTTTCTGTTTGAGTGTTTTGTGCAAAAGTCCCAACACCCCTCCACTATATTTGTGTAACTGAACTCGCTTTATTGATTCCAAGCTAACTATAGTTTGTCACATGTTGATTTCAACCATTGTTTTTTATTTTATTTTGATGGAGTGCTAATAACATAGTACACAGTAATTCTCTTAGCTCATTGCTAGCATGTTTTCTTCATCTCAACACAAGTTTTAATGTTTGCTTTGGGATTCATCATGTTGAAACCGACTGTCAGGAACGTTAATGTAACTCTATTTTCATCAACCCATCCACTATCTTAATGCACCATTACCACTCTGCAAAACAAACTTCTTGTCACAAATAGCTTAAGGTTTGTCTTGTCCAACATTAAAACTTTTCTCCAGAAGACCCTTGAAGTTGACTTTGCAGCAGAGGTTACTTCTGGTTTCTCCCTAAAAGATTCTGACACATTTTGGGAAAGATGGCTGACACATTTGGAAGCACAACTGGGGGTGTCAAGATGATAATGAGCCATGAACGTCACCAAAACCATCGAACTCGTTTAGAATAATTAAATCAGATTGATAAGACACAAGTATGGCCTTTTTGAAAAGCTGCAATCTCAACCATATTGAGATACAAATTCAGTCTGTGCCAGCAATCCAATAAATTTCAACGAGAGAAAGTGACTGGACCCGAGATCTGTTGATAGATAAAGAAAATCAAATGTTTTTTTCCAGTAATGTGGTTGGGGATGTTTAACCAAACATTAGTATCGGTCAAAGAGCAAATCATGGTGTCACTGAAATGATGCATAGACGTGTGTAAAGTGTAAAGTAAACATGATGTGGCTTTCCTTGGGTAATGATTAATCATATTGAACTAAAAATAGCAGTACATTTATCTTTTAATTATTTACAGAACACACAGCGCGCCACACACAGACACAGATATGGACACATATTCTATTAGACAAAAAGGAATCAAAGGCTCATATCAGCAGCGTCCTAAGAACAAAAGTACAGACGTTGTAAAAACTATATATATATGCAGGGTGAAAAGCAGAGAATCCTTACTTTGGCATGATCAATGCGGACTGATAGCTCCTTGGAAGCAAAGCCACCAAAGATTAGGCTGTGTGGAGCACCAATCCGTGCACAGGCCAGCATGGTGAACATGGCCTGGGGCACCATGGGCATGTAGATGACAACCAGGTCTCCTTTCTGAACCCCATTTTTCACAAGAACTCCTGCTAATCTGGACACCTGGATCAGAGGAAGTGATGCATATTCTTCATAACATGTTTCTAATTCTGCTGTTCTTTGTTTTATTTGCTAACACACACCTGGTCCTGCAGTTCGCTGAAGGTGATGATCTTCTTAGTTCCAGTCACCGGACTGTCATAAATGATGGCTGGCTGCTCTCCACGGCCACTCTCAACATGACGATCCACAGCGTTGAAGCACATGTTTAACTTTCCCCCTATAAACCTGGCAGAAAGGGACAATATTACAATCACATCTAATGCTTTAATCTTGCCTTTAACTTGTTGATTCTGTTAGAATATCAAAGATATTTGTAGGTTTGAATAGGCAACTTGAAAATGACTCCAAAACATTAAGTCAAAATTAGAGTTGCTATCTATTATGTGAAATAAATTTGATCTTAGCTGCACGTTAGCACATTTTAATTGTATTCAGAGATGTGCAAAAGTGCACTCTTGATTATGCTTAAAAGGAAGTAGACTGCTCTATGCATTGCAGATGGCTGTGATTACATTAAAAGGGAATTTCTCTGATTTTTAACTGACAATTTTGCAGTTGCCTTATAAAATAACAAAGAGAAAAATAACAGCAATGAAAAAACTAAATTAAATTTAAATGTGATGCTAAATATAATTTTGTTAAAAAAGAAAAACACTGAAAATATTAGACACTTAAAAACTTAAAACTTATAATAAAAAAGTTTAAACAAATTTGAGCCAATTTAACAATGAATATGTTAAAAACAGCCATTAGTACAGTAAAATGAATGTCTTTGGAATATATATATATATATATATATATATATATATATATATATATATATATATATATATATATATATATATATATATATTCTTCTATGCAACAGGTAGACTTTTGGCACTTCGGGCATACCATAAAGTGTCTCTTCTGTGCAGCAGGACAGCTGACAGAGGATCAAATAAGGGTTTTCCTATGACATCAATATTTTGTTTTTTAATTCATGAATTTTTGTTCTACTTTTATTTTCAGAGTTTGCAAAACGCTTGAATGACGTATTGACATTATGGCATATTTGGCGCTCCATAAACCGAGGGGGTTTTTGTTTTTGTGAGTGATTTACGTTTTGGATGCAGTTTATTATCTTTCACCTTAATAGATGAAATATGATGAGTCTGTTTAATTCCTCTCTTGCAGTCAGCTTGTTATGTGATGTAGTTTTATGTACATAAACGAAGCAAAAAGAACATTTGCTGAAAACCTACCAGTTTGGAAACACCGGGTCCTCTACGTGCAGAGTTTTGCTCCACGGCTCAAACCAGCTGATCTTCTGAGCCATCTCAGCCCAGAAAGTTTCCGGGTGGTCTCTTGCCGAGGCGAAAGCTCGGCTGTAAGCGCAGTCGGACGCATAGTTCCTGCAGCGCTGTGCTCCGACAGAAGCATGTTGTCCTGCAGCTGCATGCAAGACAAGTTCCGTCGCGCTAAAGCCTCCTTGTTTCGCTGCACAGTCAGACCAGAACCAGAGTTTCCTCTCGAGGATCCGCTTGCAGCGAGGAGGAGCGCAGCGTTTCAGGCGCACCAAGTACTTTATTTGGGAATGCATAGTTTCTGCTGACTTCAACAGAACTTTGACACGATGTCCTCGTTGCAGGTAACAAACCCGGCAGCGCGACTCAACACGGAACGAGTTCACCTGGGGCCCCTGAAGGAAGAGAAGACTTCATTAGAAATCCTACAAGGCCCTCAAGGAATGCGAACTATGAACTGGATGTAGTTGACGCAGGAGGAGCTTTGCGCCACAACAAGGGAAAAAAATTACATAACCAAAGCTGCAACGTGATGTTAGTAGCCTGTTGTGCTCTTCAAAAACTACACCAAAAATAATTATCATAACATTTCTCCAAGAGAAAATATGACAACTGTGGCCTACTCAAATCACTTATCTCACGTTGTTGCTCTACGACCAGAAACATCATTAAACTTTTCAGAGATTATTTTGTGATTTATTAATGAGAGTATTCTATAATTACGTCTTAATATTTTACACAGCTTTAAAAAAAAAAGAGTTACTTTAGTTTTTTTTTCAGGAACCTAAACAGACAATATCTTCTGCTTTATGTTTTGAAAATTGAGTTTCTTCTCATTTTCAACACTTATATGATGTTGAAATATGACATTTCACTGCATATGAAGCACACTTAAGGTTTTAGGTCAAAGTAGCACTATAATTTGTTTAGGGGTTTCAAAGTAAGGGGGGGATGAATAAAGAACATTAATTCTCAGTCACTTGTGCAGCTCTAATGTCTGCACTAATATCTCATGTGCAGCAGCAGTTTCTCTCTGATCTCTCGTGTTTTTTGTGTGCAGTTCTTCCATCGCAAACACCATCCAAGCTTCTGGTAAAATACCCATAATCCAGTTGACCCTCCCTGGACATGACCTCTGCACTGAATCCCACTGGAATTGAGTAATTCCACCATCTGATATTTCACATCATCTGTTTCTATTTATATATGTGGAACAACGTTTCCATCAGTCGCAAGCTTCACTCTCTGGGGAAGTGGTTGCCTTGCAGCTACTGTGTTCATTAAACTTATTGCTTTCATGGAAATTTAAACTGTGACAGGAAATAACTTCAAAACAAACATTTCCTCTTTAATTTGCATCCCACTTAAAAGGTGAATTTTCAATTTGTTTTATTCCTTTTTAGTAAAAAAGTTATTCATTTCAATTTTTCCCTACAACAGTGTTCCTTCAAACAGTTTCTGTTTGCACAGATAACTGGCAGGACATGTCACATTCTGACACAAAGCACCAACTACAGTAACAACATTTTTATTGGGATCAAACTGAGGTTTGAATGGCTTTTTATAGCTGCCCTTTTGTCCTCCTTTCTGATTCCATCACTTGAGTTTAAAGCCTAAAAGGCTGAGAAAAGACTAACTCAGGTTTTCAATTTTATCTGCAAACTGATGATCTCCATTTCTTCTCTGCAGAGTGTCTGAATATGGATTTCTAATAAAATTAGCTTTGAGGTACAGATTGCTTTTTTGAAGTGAAACACAATAATTCCCAGTTTTCATACTTTTAGGGAAGAACAGTGGCATCAACTTCTTATGGTTCAAATTTTAAAGAAGTAAAAGTATGCACGCCCCTTGAACTCTGCCATAAACACAAACTTACATGTTTTCATCAGATTTGAATGTGACATACAAAGTCAAAGTGCATAATATGTGAGAAGACATTGATATGTATGGTTTCTTTTACAAATAAAGCACATTTTCATATCCTGAAATGCAGTTTTGTTCCACCAAACGAAATCAGGAAGTCAATAAGTTGTATAAGTCAAATAATCTCAGGTAAATGTACAGCTGCAAGAACTATCTGCAGCTGAACACCGAGAAGACCAAGGAGCTCATTGTGGACTTCAGGAGGAACGCTGACCTGCACCCACCCATCCACATCAAGGGAATAGCGGTGGAGTGTGTGAACAGCTTTAAGTTCCAGGGAGTCCACATCTCTGAGGACCTGACCTGGACAACCAACTGCTCCAAACTCGTCAGGAAGGCGCACCAGCGCCTCTTCTTCATGAGAACCTTGAGGAAGAACCACCTGTCCTCAGAGATCCTCACCAGCTTTTACCGCTGCACCATTGAGAGCATCCCCACCAACTGCATCACAGTTTGGTACGGGAACTGCTCTGTCTCCAACCGGAAGGCGCTGCAGAGGGTGGTGAAAACTGCCCAGCACATCGCCGGGGCATCGCTCCCTGCCATCAATGACATCTACAGGAAGCGGTGTCTAAAAAGGGCCTGGAAAATTACCAAGGACTTCACTCACCCTGCACACACGCTCTTCTCTCTCCTGCCCTCTGGGAGGCGTTGCAGAAGCCTACGGACCAGAACCACCAGGCACTGGAAGAGCTTCTTCCCCACAGCTGTCACGCTCCTGAACGCCTCCTGACACAAACTATAAGGACTGCACCCCCCCATCCTCGGACTGTTCCCCTCACACACACGATCTGTATACAATCTTCATATAATCTGTAAATCTAATTTGCCATTTTTTATCCTGTATTATAAAACAACTTATATATATATACTATCCATTCTTCATATTCCTGTATATTCCATATAATCTGTGTACTTTGTAGAATATGTGCATAGCTCTCATATTTATGTTTATATTTGTACAAAACATTTTATTATAGCACATCAATATTATTCTCTGTTTATATCTTGTACAACTGTTTATAAATGTTTATATCCTGTATAGCACTTCTGGATAGATGCAAACTACATTTCGTTGCTTTGTACATGTGACAGTGCAATGACGATAAAGTTGAATTCTAATTCTAAATCGAGTTTCTGTGAAGGTCTCAGAGGATTATGAAGAACAGAAGTGAACAAACATCATAGAAACAAAAGAAACATCAGGGAGAAACTCCAAGGGTCGTTTCCAGCAGTTAGGTTACAAATATTCCCAAAATACCGTCACAGCAATCAGAATGTAGCAGATATTGAGGAATTCAAATTCCAACATGCACCAATGACAGACTTCAATCTGGTACGACAATCCTGATTTGGCCTGTCTGCGCGGCCTCTTGTGTGTCCGTTAGGATGAGGGGACGCCTTTGAGAAATCAGTTCTCTTGCAGTGGGAGGGCATTAAGCAGTGCAACATAATCCTGCCTCTTAAAAAAAGAAAAAAAAAGCAGAACTGTATTACAGCCCACATGGATGTGAGCCTGTAATCTCACTGTGGCCTCCTTCTACATGCTCCCTAAGCCCTCAGCCTCTATCCACTAAATGCTTCACCTCAGCAAACAGCTGGGTGGGATGGCTGGGCTTCAGCACATCCTGTCTGTAATTACAAATGTGAAGGTTTAGAAGAAAAAATAAACTTCTAATCACGTAATAACCCTCCAAAAATAGCATCACTGTTTTATTTCTATGAAGTACAGTTAGAGTTATTGAGGTGTTAGTTCACAGTCCTCTAGTTTCTGTCGTACCAAACAAAATCAATAACATCTACGCAGTCTCAGTATTCACTCCAAACAGCTGCTCACTTTTTGCTCTTGCCTCAAGTGTTTCTTCATGTTCAGCTTGAATTTGTGAAGTCACGAATATGTGACCCGTGTGACACATCTGCCTTGAATATCCAACATTTTTTTAAAGATTTGTTTTGTTTTTTTCCCATTGGCTCTAACGACAGTGCAAGTCCTGCGGGCTCCATTGAGCAGGCGATGTACAATATCCGAGAAGAGTCAGTGCTTCCATTCTACGGCGGTGCGTAAACATCAAGGTTAATCCTTAAACCCTTCAACTTCGGTTCACTGCCATCATTTAGTCGCTATCAGGCTGCATGCGGCGCATGTAGGCAAAGGAGGAGATAAGAGGAAGCATGGCTCAGCGCTTCACAATATCACTTGGATTGCAATTATTCAGATGTGTGAAAACAAAATTATGCATGGAAACATATAACATCCAATGTGCAAACCTGCAGAATAATTACTGAGATAAACTGAAATTTGTTTCTAATTCAGCTTTTATGTTAGCTATGGCCACTTCTTTGTTGTTTTGAGGTATTCCAAATGACTAAGAAAAAGCAAATGTTTATATATATATATATATATATATATATATATATATATATATATATATATATATCTTTTTTTTTTTACACATACATTTTTAGAAAATTGCTTTCCTCAGGTCGTTGTTTAAAACCTCCATAGAAGGAATAGTTGTTGTCAGTTATTAATGTGTTTATGGCTGGAAAAGGGCAGATTTCCTCAGTATTCATGCTGAGATCCCACTCTGAAGAGTAAAAATGGTTACAGAACATCTTGACTTTGTACGAGTGAATTCAATATTAATGATTTTTAAGGGCTCTTCCTGTAACTGCTTAGAAAAAAAATTCCCCTGATTACACTGTGCCCTCATACCCATGGAAATGTTTCACATTTTGCCACAAAGGTGAACATCAGTTTATTGAAATCAGATTTAATGTGCCTAGAACACAAAAGGAAAAGGTTTTGAAGCTTACAATAGTTTTTTTTAAAGCAAATATATAAAAGACCAACATTTACAGTGATATTCCTAAGTAATATATATTTTTATTATTATTTGTTGTCAGTATAAATACACATTGAGTAGGACAAGAAGCTTTAAGATGCAGCTGGAGGTACCAGAGAAGGGTTACAGTTAAATCATAGTGATGTGTTCGAATGAGAGCAGACATGAGTCTGCAGCCCATCGTTCTTCAATCTGAGAATGGCTTCATGTTTAGTTGTAAAAAGCTGGTGAAGGCATTTCCCCAAAGACATGCGAAACATTTACACTCCCGCAAACTATAAATGCATGCCACACTTTTCAGATTTTTGTAAATACAATTATTCCTTCACAGCAGCGTGTTATACTGTCACTTCACACAAAAGTACGAGGTTGTGAAAACTTTTACCTCGTTTATCATTCTAGTTATACAACAGATGTGATCGATTCTGAACAATTACTGGAGGTTGGAAAAAAATGAACTGTACCGAAACCAACAGAGCTTTTCCTGCAAACAGGAGCAACAAAGTGATGAGAGGATGGGAGCAGATCAAGTCCTGCTGTAACCACTCCCAGCCTCCCTCTCTGTGGCTCCTCGCTCTGCTCTGTCTGTGATGCTGCAGTTCCTCCAGTCTCTTCAGTCTCCAGTAAACAGCAGTCATGGCGACAGTGGTCCAGCCGCT